GAGGAGGGACATGGCCCCATTTTCAAATGTGTTGGGAAGGACTGGACTTTGAAAAAACAATATTCAAATTGTAGTGTCTTCAGCAGAAACAGTAATTTTAATAGGCAAAGAAGGGAAAAGCTCAAACCCCAGTCTCTCCCATTTCCCCGGTGCACTGAATGGACAGAGAAAACAGTTATGGTGTGTCTCGTTCAGGACCGTCCTACAGCCACTTCAGTGCCCAAACAGGGCACAATCATTAGGTGACCTTGTGATCTCAGCAAAACATGTCTCTCTAATGTAGCTCAATTATGATTGTAAGTTTATAAAACAGGAAAGATTACAGGAATATACATTAAACCACATCAATGAGAGTTACTGAGAAAAAAAAATAGGTCCAGCAGACAGGTACCAATCAAATAATCAATACTCAGGAAACAGCTACATCACCCTGCTTTAAAAGAACCAAATAATGCTGCAATTGGATTTCCTTAAAGTTTTTCCACTTGAACAAAACTGACAGCTGTATTATAATCACATTTCCAGTCAGTTTATAAGATACAAATTTCATTTCTCCTTATTTCTACTTCATTTCTGAAAAGTGGCCAGCAACATTATTCATCAAGCCCATGGAGAAAAAGTCTAATTCATAGAGAGAGGGGAAATGTCATTAATTCCATGTTTTCCATTTCCTTAGAGAATTGGTGGTTTAATTCAAGCATGATTTTTTTTTTCTGATCCATCCAGTTCTGAGCCCCACTTTCATAGCAGAGAAATGAAAAAGAAAAAAGGGAAAAAGAGAGAAAGAATGAGAGGGAGAGAAAGAAAGGGAGAGGCATTCTAGCTATTAGCTAGGCAAGATGACTTGGTGCTGATCTACATTTTTAGAAACTGCCCGGGTGGGTGTAACATTTGGGGTTCTTTCATTTGTGGGGGAGAAATGTCACCTGGAAACATGACTATTCTAATGTATGCATTGAGGGACATTCTTCAACTCACAATCCAGCTGCCTTAAATCACTCAAGACAACATTGAGAAATGCCAGTTTCTGTGTTTATAAATAAAGTGACTGCTAAAGCTTGACGAACCTTTTCTGGGTGCTTACTGTGTACCAGGTGCCGCAGCAGGCACAAACTAGGGAGCCACAAACCAAGCTGGAGGTACTCCTCTAAAGTGTGCATGGGGAGGAATGGGGCTGGAAGAAGGAAAGTCCAATGGACACACACACACACACACACACACACACACACACACACACACACACACACCTCCAATCACCGCCCTTCACCTCTGTTCACCAACTATTAACAGCGGCTGCACTTACTTCCTCCCTCATACCCTCCCTGCACACTTTCCTTTTCTGAGTCACCCCAAAGAGGCAGGCGTCAGACATTCTACTCTTAAACCTTGAGCCAGTTCTCCCCAAGAACCAGGACATACTCCCCCAGAGCCACAGTGATATCATCCCAGACAGGAAGTGGACACTGACCTCAGTACATTAGCCAATCACAAGTGAGGAACACTGACCTCAGCAACAATGACCAATCACAAGTCCCCATACAAATCAACCCATGTCCAGAAACTGTTCTTTAGAGCCATTTTCCTTCCCTCACCCCAGGAACAGTCAAAGTGATGTGCCTCCTTGGCTCCTCTTGCCTAAGAAAAGTATCCCTGCCCTGCTCTTGTCAGAGGGGTCTTTATGACATTCTCATGTTTTTAGTTCCTTCCATGTCTTATCCAGGCCCCACGCTTGCTAGGAAAATGCTCCACCGTTGAGTTATACTCCCCAACCAAATGTGTATGTTTCTAAAAGCTTCGAGTAGTTTGCATCCTGGGCTTGTTCTTCATTGTCTTTACTGTTGTTATCATCATCATCATCATCATCATTATATTACTATGTTCTCACTTTCATCAGAATCAGGCACATAACCATGATTGGGCATCAGCAAAATAAGCTAACATAGAGAATTTTCCAGAATTGATGGGCAAGACCACAAAACTGTCATTAGCTTTGTAAGACAAATCAATGAGCTCTCATTTTCATGGACTTACGATCAAACCACATAACTTGCTTGGGGAGCGACTGTTGCTGGAAACGGCTCTCTAGGCAGTGAGAGGAGCAGCCAGGGACCTCCACGGAGCCTCAGAGCTGTGTGCCAGGGAGTGGGGGCACAGCATACACAACGCAACAACTGCATAGGCACGGAGCTAACTAGGCCTTTCATGGCATTCAGTCACCTTCATATTCATCACTACAGCATGATGGGCTGGATCTCAAATATGGAACAAGAATTGGGAGTGTAGCTGGAGGCATGGCTCAAGGAGAGCACCAGCCAAGCAAGGAAGACAAGTGAGCCCAGGCCCTGAGTTCAAATCCTAGTACAGCTAAAATAATAAATAAAGGCTAGCACGAGTCTTTCCTGAGCAGGACCCTGTCTTTGGTGCTCTTAAGACAGAACCCATCCCTGGTGCCACCTGGGCCCAGAGACCTGCTGCTGCCCAGCAAACACTTGCTCTGGGCTTCAGGGGAACATTCTTCATGCTGTGTTTTCTTATCAAAGTGGCAGCGAGAAAAGGTCAGTAAATACACTTCAGGTCATTGCTTCCTGAATGTGCAGAAGCCTATCTTTAAGCCCATATTAAGGGAGATAACAGGGTAACCAACTCCCAATCTCTCTCCCAGAGTCAATTTCTTCAAACTAGCAAAAGGAAACAAAACCAGCTTCCAATCATCCAATCCTCACCTAAATGCACATAGAAAGCACTTGGTACTCTGCAAATAAGGTGATGTCCCCAGCAGTAACCAGTACCACAACTGAAGCAAAAAAGCAGCCAACCAGCAACCCAGGCACCTTATTCTAGTAGCATGCACCTTTAAAACTCACAGTCCCCGGTATTTTCTGAGCATCACCCTCTTTAGCAAAAGATAATTTGCAATCAGGCAGGGTAAAGACAGGCAGCCATTACTTTCTTAATGGCCAACTATCCAAAAGGGCTCAGCTAAGTGATCTCAACTAGCAATTGGACCGATTAGAATTGATAAGTGAAATACTCTTAACCTTCCTTTCAGTGGGCCATTCCTACGGGGAGGGGGCAGGAGTGCAGATTCCCAGCACAGAATTTAATTTCAATTCACAGACATAAACGTGATTGGTGCCTTGCTGCATCCCTTCCTCTACACAGCTCAGGTCGGAGAAAGACTGGCTATGATGCCAGCGGACTGTGTCAATTCCGCCCTTACAGAAATTGCTGGGGCCATCTGTCAAGGAGGATAGGACAAAAGAGCTGGTCAGCGGACAGAGGGGGCATGGAAGTGTGGGAACACCAGGGAGCACTAGGCAGGCAGGTTGACCGCGGGTGACACGTGCAGTCATCACTGCTGAGAACCATCTAGCGCCAGGCACTGCTAGGCTCTTTGTGAGCATGGTGGCATCAGCGAGCAGGTCTGACTGTGATGTGCTGAGCCTCTTACATACTACACACCGTGCTTCTCACACTGCCTATATTTCACTCACCCTCAAGACAACCTTGTAGCCCAGAAAGACCACTCTCCTTTCAAACTTATTTACTCAGTTTGGGGGCTGGCCTATGCACTCTAGACAAGTGCTCTACCACCTAGCTGACCCCTAGCTGCAAACATCATCACATTACAAGGAAGGAAAGAGAGGCTCTGCATCCCCCTGCTCAAGGGGACGCAGGGCAGGGCAGCAGTCTCTGCGGGTTACAGAGCTCAACAGTCTTGCCAAAACTCACGGAAGTACACACTGAAGCTGGTGAATGTGCTGCACAGGAACGACACCTCATATTCGGCAGTAGACAGCCACCTGCAGTTCCCGCTGCCCAGCCATTGCCTCTCTGGCATCTTGTAAGGGTGCCTCCTCACACTCAAATGACCAGGGCAGAAGGCCCCACCTCCCTGCTTGAAGGTGGGCTGGTGACCTCAGGGGGTCAGCCTCTATTCCTCCCACCGCTGCCCAGCTTAGGGGTGGTGCTGTGATGAGGCCAGTGAGGGTGCAACCCCACATTTTTTAAACCTCTTGTCTGACAGGGTTGCTTAGCCGGCACAGCAAATCCTAGGGCTGCTGGTGGCCATTTCTCAAGGACCTAGTGAGAGGCATCCTGAAGATGAAGCTGGACCAGAGGAAAGCAGAGCCAAGATTGGAGAGGGGGCAGCTTCTTGACGCTTCGGCCTTCGTACCTAGATCTAGGCATGCTTGAAGACAGAACCTCTCTGGACTTTCCGGTGACAGCCATCTCCCTTTCTTTTTTCCACAGGCCAGTCAATTCAGGGCTTTCTGTGTTCTATAACCCAAGACCCCCATTATTCACAATGCTTTTACTAAACGGAAACCAGGCCATCTTTCAGTGAGTACTTGCCCCATGGAAAATGGAAACAACCAGACTTTATACCCATTATCTCCTTTAAATCTCAGCTCTGAGCCAGGCTGTAGTGCACGCCTGTAGTCTTAGCACTCAGGAGGCTGAAGCAGGAGGATCACAAGTTCAGGGCCAGTTCAGGCTACACAGTATGACTCTCAAATGAAAAAAAAAGCAAAACTAAAAACAAAACAAACCCCCAAATCCTAAAAACAAGTCTTGGCTGGAGAACACTGAAGACAGGTGCTCAATGGCGTGGCTCCAGGTTAGAGGCCAGCTCCTGGGTCTCAGGGCCCCGTCCTTGCTCATCGCTGGTGCCTTGCCAGCTTCCTGCAAGCAGCAGCAGGAGCACCCATCATTGGCTCACGCAGAAAACCCTCAGTCACATGGCTTGCCCAGCTTACATGGAGACAGGGGTCTAAGCCAAGCCTCCCATGGCTCAGTTCAGACCTTTCAGCAAACCCTCTGTTCTCCATGAAGCAGCATGTACAAGCTGAGCTCAGATGCCTGGAAGCCTTCACATTTTTTACAGGACGCACATACCACCTACACATGGTAGGCCACAGGGGGGCGGCGGTACAAAATGCCCACCATACCTCATCCCCACCCCCTCCCCCCAGCATCCCAGGCCCTGGTCCACTCACTCAGGTCCAGCACATCGTCGGTCTTGATCAGGTCCTCTTCCCGAGTCAGGGGCAGCTGTGTCTCGGGCTCCCCTCGCAGCTGCAGCGACAGTGAGCGCAGCATGAAGAATACCCGGATGGCCTGGATGGAGGACAGAGCAGAGGGAGCACGCTGCAGGGGCAGCACGGTGAGGCGCCTGGACCCCTTCTGGTGTGGGGTCAGGCTGCTTTACTCCACTGAACACCCGCATCTGCCAGCATCTTGCCCCAAGTTGTCTGGTCACCACGGTCTCTGCCCAGCATTCAGCCACTCCACACACAGGGAACCGAGACCCAGGGAGGGGAATGGGCTGCCCACGGCCAAGAGCCCAGCCCACCTGTCCACAGAGGCCTGCAGACCATGGAGGCCAAAGTACTAGGATGTTTCCAGCCCTGCTACTGAATGGAGGTCTGGGACAGGAATGCAGGTGAGTGTGGGCTTTGGAGCTGGTGAAGGCCATTAAAAATGTTACCCCACGGGGCTGGGAAGATGGCTCAGTGGTAGAGTGCTTGTCTTGCATGTATGAGGCCCTGGGTTCCATTTCTTAGTACCACATAAGCAGAAAAAGCTGGAAGTGGTGCTGTGGCTCAAGTGGTAGAGTGCTCACCTTGAGCTGAAGAGCTGAGGGACAGTGCCCAGGCCCAGAGTTCAAGCCCCACGACCAACAACAACAAAAAACATTACCCACCACAGGTGAGTCCCTCCATCCCTTGGGCCCTGGCCTTAGGATGAGGAGTATGCTGCTGGTGAGGCCAAGGCCTGGCACGCGGCACAGGTGTGGTTTCCCTGTGCGCCTGCTGGAGGCAGAGGCAGCCCCAACGGCACAGGGATTCCTGGCCTAGGAAAAGCGGTCTGTCAGAACCCAGTGTGGCTACTGGGCATTTGCAGAGGCAGAGGCCCAGACGTGCGAGCAAGAAGCAGCAGTCAGCCAAGGAGCAGGCTCGCCACCAAACAGAGCTGAGAAGCAGAGGACAGGGAGGAGAGGTAGTCCAGCTCTCTCTCCAGAGACACAGACAAGGCTGTCCTAGACCAGCAGCCCTACTACGCTGAGCAAAGCCCAACTGCTTAAGCTTCACTCTCCCCATCTGTGAAATGGGCACAGTACCATCTAACTCACAGACTGAGCCAGCCCTGGTCTAAGGCTGCAGAAGGGGCCAGCACAGTCTCCATAAAGAATGGTCATCTAGTCACTAGACAGGCACCGTGCTGGGCAGAGAGAAGGCCCAGGGACAAGCCGGGTCACCTGGGTGAGCTGTACAAAGATGAATTCAAGTGCACCTTTGGGTATTCTTATTCTGACTCCAATGGCTATGTGAAGGGAGAGTGCCCTTAAATCCGGCAAACTGCTCCCCAACAAGAAGGGGGACACACTGCTGTTGGCCAAGAGCTGGGATAGCGCTGTCTCTGATGACTCCGATCGGGTGATTCTGATTCTACTTTGGCCTTGAACCAGTGGGAGGGAGGCCTGGGACCAAGATCCTATTGAAGGAAACTGGCAGAGCACTTACACCCACCCTCCCAGTATTCTCTGAGAATCAGAAGTACGAGGGAAAGTCAGTGCTCTCACTGTGAGGAGTGGTGGTGGTATTAGTAATAATAGTTCTAGCAGGTCTTTTATTTATTTATTTTGTGGAAGTACGGGGCCTGAACTCAGAGCCTAGGTGCTGTCCCTTTGCTTTTTTGCTCAAGGCTAAAGAGCTACCACTTGAGCCACATCTCTACTCCTGGCTTTTAGGTGGTTAATGGGAGAGCAGAGTCTCATCTCACAGACATTTCTTCTTGGGTTGGCTTTGAACTCCAATCCTCAGATCTCAGCCTGCTTATTAGTAGCTAGGATTGCAGGTATGGGCCACCAACTCCTGGAAGTTTCTAAAGTATAGACTTCATCTCTGACAGAAGACAGGTATGGCTACAATGAACCTGGGAGACCTTCCATGTAGTAGGGTCTTACTGCGGGCCAGAGACTGTGAGCACCTTACTGCAGCCTGGGAAGAAGAATGGGAACTGGCAGGCAAAGTGATGGTCCACATGGCTGCTATGGGAGGGATGCTGTGACTCCAACCCCAGGAGCCTGAGTCACACAGCCTAGCACACCAGGAAATACAAACCCCTGGGCCAGCCCAATGGGAGGCAATGGAATATCTTGCAGTGGAACTCTTAAATAAGAGGCTGGGAAAGAGAGAAAGAAAATGCCAGGTCCATTACAGGCAGGACCCAGTGAAGCTGTGGCCCTCTCAGTGATCTGAAGGCAAGCACCTAGTAGGACTACAGCTGGGGCTGAGAAAATAGAAACATACACTGCTTTCTTCAGCATAGCACTGGAAAGCCTAAACTTTCCACTGAATAAAAAAAAAAAAGTTCCTCACTTGGCTGCTAACAGGGCTTTTTTGGTAAAACATCTGCTTCTGCACTACAAATGACAAATGGAAGCTGTTTCCAGGAATACAAACAAGTAAAAAAAATAAGATCATTCAAAATATAAAAAGGAACATCAAACATACGAAATAAACTGTTCCGCTCCCAAGGGAAGGCAGAAGGCATCAGAGGCCTGTACCCCTGAATGGAAGATGGGGGGTCCCATAGGACAAGGTGCACCACATGGGGCCAGCCGGGCTTCCAAGGGGAGTCTGCAAACGCCTGGCAGGCAAGCTGAACACACAGAATGCTACGCCACACAAGACTGAGGCCACACGGGTACCTGCCACCTTCTGAAACAGCAGTGGCTTCCTCTGGTTGCCCTAGGCTTGTGCAGAGCCAGTGACATCGTTGTCTCATTTGGGCGCTGAATGGCCTGAGACTCCCCGTCACAGACAGAAATGGAGCTTGGGGACACAGGCAGCCTCCAAGGTCACTTCCTGAATAACTCCTCCTGGGCCTTCAAAAGATTTAGAACTTGTGACCCACAGTTTATGGAGTAGCTATCATTTCTTTGCTCAATGAAAATGAAAAACTTCAAAGTATCACTAAAAAAAGGTATAGGAAATCATTTCCTTTTCAGATTCTTCAGAATACTAAGAAGGGTGATGCTTGAGAAATAGACCAGACTGTGAGAGGAAAGGCAGCGGATCACACTCAAACAGGAAGGAGAGACTTCTCCAGTTTCCACGCTGGCTTAACTCAGTCTCCTGAGAATCCACCTGGCAAGTTCGGATGGTGTGGAGTCAGACCTCAGCTTGGCTGAGGCTAAGCGCAGGCTGGTTGCTTGGGGACAGGGTGCCATCGGGCATCCACATGAGACAAGTGGCCTGGGAGATGCAGTGAGCTCTGGGCTGGCCCCGGGACAAACTCTCGACTCAGTTCAGGCTCCCACTCCCTTGCCAGGTATGCAAGCTGTTCAAATATAGGCAACCATCACTCAGGTTAGGAGCCCCCGAAGGCTGTGGAAAGGACTGCAAGAGTCAGTCACAGAAGAATGCAGAAGCCATTTAACATGGGGCAGCCCACCAGGAAAGCAATGTGGCGATGTGCAGCCAGACAAAAAAGTTCATACCCTTTGAACCAGAAGTTCCGCTTCTGAGACCTTATCCTGAGGAAATAAGCCAAAAGAAAGACAACTGTATTCATGGAACAGCTCACTACAGTTCAGCTGCAAATACTGTAACAGTGGGACCAACCCCAAATGTCTAACAGAAAAATGCTGCTCAAGTGTATGATGCCAAAGTCACCAGAGAAACCTTGATAGTCATAAGAAATCAGATTTACAGGCTGGGAAGGTAGCTCAGTGGTAGAGCGCTTGCCTTGCATGCCTGAGGCCCTGGGTTCGATTCCTCAGCACCACGTAAGCAAAAAGAAAAAAGCCGCAAGTGGCGCTGTGGCTCAAGTGGTAGAGCGCTAGCCTTGAGCTGAAGAGCTGAGGGACAGTGCCCAGGCCCAGAGTTCAGACCCCACGACCGGACCCAAAAAAAAAAAGAAAGAAAAAAGCCAGAAGTGGCGCTGTGGCTCAAGTGGTAGAGCACTAGCCTTGAGCTGAAGAGCTGAGGGACAGCGCCCAGGCCCAGAGTTCAGGCCCCACAACCGGATCCAAAAACAAAAAACAACAACAAAAAGAAATCAGATTTACTAGTCAAGGTGGTATGTGGGCTCTAATCACAGCATCCAGGAGGCTGAGGAAGAAGATCGCAAAATCTGGGGACAGTGTGGGCTAAAGACAGACTTACTAAAACTGCATCATGGCTGGAGGGTAGCTCGGAGGTTAAGCACGAGTGAGGCCCTGGCTTCCATCACAACACTACAAAAAGACACTTAACAATAGACACTTACAACATGAAAAACTTTTTGCCCTGTAATAACAAGTAAAACAGGACGGGGATGAAAACTGGGGCATGACAAAGATGCCCTCCCTGCGATCAGGAGGGGAGAAGTTTTCAAAGAGATGGAGGCAGCTCAGGGCAGGCCTAAGTGTCACTGCTCCTGTTCTTCCTTGCTTTGAAAACCTGCAATGCTGCTCTAGGGTGTAATACACAGATGAAAAGCACAGCAGGAGGCCCTCAGTGATAAACAAGCAGGCCTGCAGTTCAGGTTCACAAGGGGACAAGGGAACAGTGGGGACAAGTAAAAGCTTACACTTACTTCGTTTGACCTGCCAGTTCCTGTGTGAAGATGGCTAGTGCTTCCATTCAGATTTTGATGCTCACCAAATCTCAGCCCTGGCTCTCCCCGCTGAGACTAGGAGAGACCCCATCTGCTGTTCATGGGAGCTGCAGCAGACCACCCACTTCAGCATGCAGGTCTGAGCACTCACTGTCTGCCAGGCCCTAGCACTGCACTCTCTTCTATTGTGGACAACAACTGAGAAGTGAGAGGAAGGAACTTAGGATCCTGAGATTCATTCAAGGTTAAATTGGGTTTAACCTTGGCTAAATTAACATGGCTAAACTGGGTTTGACCCAAAGTTGGTCTGACTCACAAACTTTCAGTCTTTTCTGAGTCTCTACTGCCACTCCATGTGGGTGGGGCAGGCCAGTGCCAAGTTCTGCTAGTACTCTCGCATCAGACCCTAGGGCTCTGGTGACCTTTATTTCAACACGAACTGTCCCTCTCAGCCAGCCTAGCTCAGTGGCACTCCTGGTATTTTGGTCTGCCTTTGGATTTCTTGCCCCCCTGGTCCACATATGTGTGTGTATGTATATATACACATATAGACACACATATACATATATAAATACATATATACACATATACACACATATATACATGCACACATACACATACAGGTCAACGAATACATCAAGTGACAGAACATGTGGTGTGACATAAAATGCAAAGAAGGGAATTTTGTCACTGGATGCTTTCCAAGGCCTGCTAGGCCCTGAGCCCTCCCCACACCACACCTTGCCCTGTAACAGGCCTGTTCCCACCAGCAAAGGGCCATCTTTGGGCTCTGACTTCTGTGGTTCCTTCTTGTTTCCTGGGTTTATGCTTGGATGCAGCTTTGCAGTGTACGTCCTATCTGCTGCTCTCACAGGCTGTGCCCATCAGACCCTACCACATCAGCCCATTGCTGCCCTGGCCATCACACCTGCTTCTCGGATGCTTGTGATTATTGGTGACCTCCTTAGGTGAGAACAGAGGCAGGGACTTGTGCGTCCCCAGGTACAGCTCAGTGTCTGGCACATGGGGACCAAGCAGCTCTTGGAGGAGTATGTGAATGAACATTGTAGTCAGCAGTGATTTACTAGGAAGGGCCAGATGTTTGACCTTCTCCAAGTCCTTAAGGAAAATTAAGGTGAGGTTTCTGAAAAGGACTGACCTAAAATGGAGTAGGTTTACTTAGAGAAGTCTATCTGTCTGTCCATCAAGAGGGGGAGAGAGACAGAAAGACAAGTTGAGAGAGAAAGAAAGCCTTTGACTCCAAAGAGATACAGTGTTAGGAGCGAAAATCCGGAGACAAACCAGAGGAGCCCTAAATTGCTTGCTGAGCTACCACGTCCTGGAGCTCCAAGTCAGGACACATGCTGGGTTCTGACTTCAGAGGATTCTAGACAATAGACTCCAACAAGAGCTAGACTAGGTGAGAGGCCAACACTTCCCTTCAGAGATTGACTCATGAAGTCTGAAAAGAAGCTTTTCTGAAGTGGATGAGTCTGCTTGAGAGGCCTGTCCTATTTACTATCTTTGTGTTATCAGCGATCCTGGGATTCTAGTACTGCTTTTGTAAACTGCTCAGAGGGCCTAACAAGAAACCCTAAGGAAACCCAGACAGCCCCAGGAGTTGGGGCTTGCTTCCCCCGAGCCATTCAGGCTGCACATCCCACAGGAGCAAGGCAGGTGGGCAGCAGAGCCCTGGGAACTTGCATGGAAGTGGAATGTGAGGGATGAAGGGAGAAGAGAACTAATCTCATCAAGGATCTTACAATGTGTATGTCTTATGTGAGTCCTCATGGTAACTCTGGCAAGGCAAGTGCATTCTGCTTTATAGAGGAAGTGACAGGTAGCTCAGAGTAGACCCCAACCTCTCCTTTGCCACCAGCCTGACAGTGTACCCTAGATCGCTTCCATTTCTCTCTAATGGAGAGGATGGACTACACCAGCCAGCAGGGCATGATACTGTAAAACTATGTTGGAAGCTGACAGCCAGTGTCCTCACCTGGCTCCAAGACCTGGCTCCAACCAGCCCTTCCCCTTGGCCTTATCAGTTTCTGCTCAGTGCTGGCTATTTGGGGGTGACAGGATGTGCCACATCTCTCTGGGCCCATGTTGTCCAGTTCTGCCCAGCCCAATGCCACAATCCTGGCTTAAGAGCCATCCCTCTGGTACCAGTCCTCTCCATCTCCTCCCTGTACCATGATGCTTTAGGAACGTGGTCTACAGTCATTCCTGCCACACCCTTTAGACTGGCTCCTAGAGGGCTGGACTACTTCCCTGTCTGAGTCCAGCACAAGCAGGGTTCATGGCAGGAGGCAGTGGGCTAGGGCACTTCAGAGCTGGGGGGCTCCAGAGGCCACACTGCGTGGACCAGCTCCTGGCTCAGCTGTGGACAACCGGAGTAACTGAGCACATGGATCAATTGCAGATACCTCCAATAGGGAGCTGGGGTAACTACAGGGCCACCTCCAAGTGTGGCATGGAATTAGACAAGGAAATCCACATAAAGACTGACATGAAGGTTAGGCTCTTTACTAACGCTATGCACTCATACTCCACCAAGAACCAAAGGGTAGCAGCTGGGCTCCAGTCCTACAGATTGCCCAAATGGGCCTGCACCCTGGCTGGAATCTTCCTGGGGAGCACCCCTCAGGCCAACAAAAGGCCAAAGGTGAGCTGCTGGCGTTGAGGAGTGGCCCACAGGACACCCACTCTTCAGAATCAGCCTCCCACTGCACAAAGCCACCCACCAACAAAACCACGTGCCTGATTGGTTAGGGCACTGGTGCTTGCCAAGCAAAGGGAAGGACGGCGGCAGCGGCTCAGCAGGGCGGCTTCTGTGGTGAGGCCTGTGGCTTTGCTCAGACAGCTGGGAATGTCACTGACTCAAGACACGTGGGTCCCACTTCCTCTGCAGCCTGGAGCCACTGCCATTGAGGCAAGAGCACCAGCAGGTAGAGGAAGGTGGCCAACTCCTCCTGCTGGAGGCACGAAGCATGCCACCAGCTTTCCAGAATTCTGAGTCAACCCTCTTCCACACGGCACACTCAGATTAAGGCAGAAGGTATACCTGATAACTGAACTATGATAACTGAGCTACGTGCAACAAATTCCTCTAATTATCCTCTAAGAAGCTTGTCTTCAGGAATGATTTTCCAGGAAAAGGCTGTGGTGCTTTCTAAGAAAGAAACTGTGATCTTACAAGGGAGATAAAGTACCATGAACAGCCCGGCCAAGGCTGCTTCCTAGAGCGCCCGCCTCAGAGCACAGTGCTGATAAGGTACGCACACACTCCGGCTGCTTCTGAGAACTCCCTACCCTTCACAAACATCTCTTTGCAATTTCACTTGTGTGTGCCGTGTCCCCAGATCAGCCAGATACCTTAACATCACGCCATCTCTGGGGGTCCTGAGATCTCAGGGTAAGATCTCACCCTCCCCTCACCTGCTCTGGGTGTTCTAGCTTTCCTCCCAGTTCGAAGAAGCCCAGCCTCCTGGCTTCTGCCTGCTGAGCTCGCTGCGCTCAGGCTGCAGGCTGTACGGAGGAGGTGCCTGCCCACAGCCCCCAGTGGTGCCAGGTGCCATGGGACTCCAATCCCCACTACCAAAGGGAAACACGTTTTAGAAAGCCATGTGTAGTTTCGGGGTGTCTGGGTGGTGTCCTCTACCCATGACTAAGCTCATGATGGAGAAGGGCTCTTGATGTTGACCCTTTCCTTCCTGGCCCAGAAGGGGTTCTGGGGTAGGAAGAGCCCCTAAGAGAGGCTGGGCCAGGCCTGCGTGCACACTCACCCGCCGAGTCTTTTCCACGTCGCCACATGGCAGCCGCTTCACAAAATCAATGCCTGTCAGTGGGGTGCCCGTTGGAGGCAGCAGGATGGAGGCGTCCATCATGAGATATTCCACATTCATGGGCTTCATCTAGGAGACATGACAGGAAACTTCACTTGGGGGAGGCGCCACTGGGCAGGCCACGGGGCTTTCACCCAAACCCATACAGAGTCAATGAGTGCTGTCCACGTTGGCTTTGATGGAGACCCCTCCCTCTTCCAGGCTGTCTGCTGTGATGATAGTACTTTCTTATTTTTCTAGGTTTTTGTGTGTGCTGGTACTGGGGCTGAACTCAGGGCCTGTGGGCTGTCCCTTAGTTTTTTTCTGTTCAAAGCTGGCATTTTTACCACTTGAGCCATAGTTCCACTCCTAGCTTTTTGCTGGTTAATTGTAGACGAAGAGTCTCGTGGACTTTGCTGCCTGGGTTGGCTTCAAACTGTGGTCCTCAGATCTTGGCCTCCTGAGTATCTAGGATTACAAGCGTGAACCTCAGACCCATGGCTGGTTTCAGGTTTTTCCTTTTATTGAGCCTGGAACCACAGTCACTCAGGACAGGCTGTCTTCTTTTTGACAAGTAATTTCCTCTAGAGATCTGACACTCCCCCCACACCCCAAATTCCCTGCATTCCAAAGCAGGGGGAGAGAGGCTGCATTCCCATCTGGGTTGTGGCTGGCATTGATTGGCAATGGCCTAGCAGTAGTGCCCCCCCCCCCCCCCAGCCTGCCCTGCTGGCTGGCAGACCTCCAGTCCAGCGAGCTCCTTCCACATAGACTGCAGGGTCCATTCCCTTTCCCATTGAACACTGGTACTAAAGGATGTGAGGGAAGCAGTGAAAGCCGAAGCCTGGCTTCAGCGTGGCTCCCATGCAGGGTAAGGGAGGCTGACTGCAGCAGCCACAGGGCCCTGGGTGTGCCACCTTTGTATTTCTAGAGAATGTCAGACGTTGTGCAGGACACACCACAAACATTTGATTAAAACAAATAAACCTCAGGAAGCTTACTAGGGTGGGAGGACAGGAAAGGAATCATTTTTAGACTCTGCATGAGGCATCTTGTTGGGCAGTTTACATCCAGCCTGGCCAAGCCGGGGGTGTAGGCCCAGCAAGCAGATAAAGCATCAGAGCTCAGAACTGAAGGCCCCTGCCCAGGGTCACGTAGTTAGGCAGTGAGCACATCACATGTGACATAAGAACTTTACACTGGAACTATACTGCAGAGAGGGCAGGGGATGGGGAGATAAACAAACAGCAAAGCAGCAGACAGCCACTGCACTCTCCCCACCCCCACACGAATCAGTGGTCTGAAGAGTCAAGTTTGAGCCCCTTTAAGAATGTTAAAATTGGGGCTGGGAAGGTGGCTCAGTGGTACAGCGCTTGCCTTGCATGCTCAAGGCCCTGGGTTCGATTCCTCAGCACCACATAAGCAAAAAGAAAAAAGCCGGAAGTGGCGCTGTGGCTCAAGTGGTAGAGCACTAGCCTTGAGCTGAAGAGCTGAGGGACAGTGCCCAGGCCCAGAGTTCAGGCCCCACGACCGGACCCAAAAAAAAAAAAAAACAAAAAAACGAAGAATGTTGAAATTTGCCAGGTACCCACTGACAAAACTTTAATCCTAGCTACTCAGGAGACTGAGATTTAAGGATTGTGGTTCAAAGCCAGACGCTTATCTCCAATGAGCCAGTTAAAAAAGCCCAAAGTGGAACTGTGGCTCAGATGGTGGAGCACCAGCCTTGAGTGAAAAAGCTCAGGGGCAGCGCCTGGGCCCTGAGTTCAAGCCCCAGGGCCAGCACTCACACAAAACAGAATGATGAGGCAGAATGTCAACCATGAGCTGCAGTCACAGCAGCCCGGGCCTCTGCATGTTACTGGGCGCCTCTGGAGGCTCAGTGCACAGTGACAAGACATGGTAAGGGCCCTGTATCCAGAACCCAATTGAAAGGGCTACAAAGCCAGAGAGCCACTTCGCTGAGCACCTGCTTTCTAGGCTTATTATCAATGTCCTAATCACTTCACACTTTGGTAACATCCACGAAAAGATAACTGGCCATCTATTTAGTGATATCTGCTGGGGAGCAGGGCTAGGGAGGAAGAGACGGGTAGAAAAAAACCAGAAGATTGTTCAGTCCTTACAATGCTGCTTGCTGCAGCGAGAGGCAGAGACCTAACTGACACTATGTGCTGGAACATTCCCTCAGAGTAGCAGAGAAGGCAGCATAACACACAGATACAACAGGGCATGGGGAGGGCAGCTCTGCTGTGGGGGCAGGTTCTGTCACTAACAGTGGGACAGAGAGGCCAGGAGGTGGCCTCTCTGCCTTCCATCTTCCTGAGTAGCTGAAGGAGAGACAAGGGCAGTAACCCTCCCCACAGACTGACGTTGTCAAGGTTAGATTTTGCAGACACAGGTGCTTCCTCTGTGAAGAGACACCTTCCCAACACAACTTACATCAAAGCGGAGAGATACAACCTGAAGTTCTCTCAGTGTTGGGGATCAAGAGGCTTCACTACAAAAGTCCCTTCCTACCAATCTTTGCTACTTGGTGCAAAAGCCCCAGGTCAGACAGAGAGCCCTATGGGTTCAGCAGGCCCCCAGGAACACACCAACTCAGGTGTGTTGGGCCCTCACTTACTGTCATGCTCCTGTATTCGTCTTCGAACATGTCCAAAAATATCTCTTCTCCCTACAAAGGAAGGGAGGAAGAGAAGAGATTACTCATATTTTTTTTCTGTGAACACAGTATTATAAACCTGAGCTGTTGGTTTTTGAGGCCATCTGCTTCTTGTTAGTGAATTCTCGTAAATCACCAGGAAGTAAAATATACACGTGAAAACACACACACACACACACACACACACACACACACACGCACGCACGCACACACACACACACACACACACTCAGACAAAAGACCAAACAGCAAGCTGAGCCATGCAATGTTTTTCTCCTTTTTAAAATGCATATCGAGTTTTTCTGTCAATACAGTAAGAAAGCAACAACAAAAATAACCTTATACATGATTAAAAGAGAGAGGAGGTTAATATCTCAAGTGCTCAGCATCATGTATCTGTCAAGAATGGCTAGAGAAATGGAAATCCTGGTTAAGTTACCATGTTAAAAATGTGAAGCCTCACACCTCTGAAAGGAAGCTAGTAATTACAACTGCTTAACACCAAATGGGTTGTTCCATTTGCTTCTGAAGAGAGCCTTGGGATCTCACAGCTCCTCAGGCTGAGACCCCTCCCAGCAGGTCCCCTTCAGAATAGGGTGTACAGACCTGCATGGGTCTGAGACACACAACCCAGGGGCCAGATCCCAGGGACCTTCTACTTCACTGCAACTGTGGAGTGCCCACAGTTGGGTGCAGGGTCATCTCTGCTGCAAGTGAAGTGAGCTGACACACAAAAATGTGGAGACAGAGCCTGCTCCTCTGTCAAGGGGAATGTGAGCACTTACTGTCAATATAATCTCTGCTGAGCAATGATGTCAAGTACTGTCCCCTGGGGGTGGGAAAGATTGGGGAGAATGATGGGAGGGGTGATACTGGCCAAGATGTATTGTACTCATAAGGTGGTTTGTTAAATTGAAACCCCTTTGTACAACTACTTGAGATAAAAAAAAAATCTTACTTCAAAAAGGAACCATCTTCTGTCTCCTAACTTTCAGAAATACAAGTGTCTGTCTGTCTCTCCTTCTCTCTCAATACACACACAGTCAAAGCCAGGACTCAGACCTTTTTCATACTGTCCAGCTGTCTGACTACAGACAACCTTGAGTATCTGCACAGCTAAAGTGACAGCAAAAGAAATGACAACCCCTGAAAACATCTAAAAGCTCCTGACACGCTGTACTTAGGTGTAACACTACACAGGATGAAAGCAAGAGAAACACTCTGGACTGGGAGAAGGAAAGAAAATTTACATACAGTTCTCCCTGTTAGTAACAAGAATTATCTACTGGGAATTGCCAGCTCTCTGCCCTTCCAGGACTGAGGGAATAAAACAAAGCAATTATCGGGAAAAAGGTTTGAAGATGACTAGGACAACCTGGTGCCGTGGGGGTGGGGGTGGGGCGGTACCCCAAGTGTGGTTTGAGGTGCTATAAAGGAAGCTGGGATTCCCCATGTGCGGTATGCAGAGGCCCAGAGCAGTGCTCTTTGTCTACTGCAGTGGAATGGGGTTCACTGCATCTGGCAAGGAGGATTTTCAGATCCTACAGAGTCATCTTAAACACTGCCAGTGCTAGCTAGTGTAAAAGATTCCCCCAAAGAAAGAGGAAGTAGAGGACAGATGAGGAGCAGGGAATGAGGGCAGTGCTAGAGCTGAAGGCTGCATTAGTCACTTCCAGGGGCAACTAGCAGGACAAGGGAGATGTGCCGCAGGGGCCCAGAGATCAGAAAACCATGAGGACTGTGCACACATGGATAATCCATTCTGGCCGAGCCTTGCCTAAGGAGGAGTAAGCTCTGAATGACTGGGTCTGTCCCCATGTTCCTGTGTTGAAGTCCTCACCCCAGGATGATGGTGCTTGGCCATGGGTCCTCTGGGAGGTGCTGAGGTCATATGGGTACAGCCTCCTGAATGGATCTGGGTCCTTATCAAGGAGGCCTGAAGGAGCTGGTTGCAGCAGAAGGCACCAGCTGTGAGGCAGTGACCTCACCAACATCACACCTGCCTTGATCTCAGTCTTCCTAGGCCCCAGCATTGTGGGAAATCAATCTCTGCATCCATAAGCCATGCAGTGGCTGGTATTTGGTTAGAGTAGCCTGAATATACTAAAATATGGGCTTTCGATAGAACTGAACAAAACCATGACAAATAGATCTTTTAAACCTAATCACCTGGAACCTGAAGATAGCCTACAAATGTTTCAGTTCTGAAGTTAAGCTGGTACTTTACAAAAAATCTCAGGAAGCCTGAAAGAAGTTTCTTAGCACACGTGCCTAGAAATAGTATGCACAGTCATAACTGATACAGCCAGAGCTAATTCACAAGTAATCTTATATATACTGGCTTATATACGTCATCGACATATAAGTCCATCATGTATAACTTAGTCATTTGTGTATATGGTTAGTAACTTACACATAAATAATACACTTCATAATAAACTAGGACTGGGTCCTTAAAACGCTTTCTGAAAAGAAATGGCAAGCTGAGAGACCACTCCTAGAGACTGGAACTGTCACTTTGACCTATAATCTTAAGTATAAAGATAAGAGAAGACATAAAACCTTTACAATGTGGGATCAGACACCAACAATCCTGTTTCTGTAAGACACCTGGACTGCCAATTACCTTGTAGAAATGCCGTACAAGGTGGACACTCTCTTCTCTTGCACCCTGTTGAAAGAGAAGAGGGTGTGAAGGAGGCACGTGATGACATGGAAAGCCATTCATGGAGAATTAATGGGACTGATGATCACATATGGCTGTTAGGACTCACTCCACTTTTATAAAATAAAAAGTTATTCCATTAGTGTGTGTGTAAGCAACTGCCATATGCAAGGAGTGACTGTAATCATAACTTTTAACCTCTCTGTATGTCCTAAATTTTCTTTAGAAACATGGAAAATGGAGAAAGGAGGCAATAAAAGCTACTGAACTTAACAACTGTGTATTTCAGTACCATAAAAAAAAAAAACCCTGTAAATAAATATACCTGTGTGTAGGGCAAACCCAGGGGGCCACTGTGATGAAGTGGGCTTTTCAGGCTCCAGCAGGGACAGATGGGCTGGGTGGGTCGGGGACCCTCCTCCTCAGCTCACAGGAAGTGGAAGGGGAGAGGAGGGACAGGGATGGGATGGCCCTCACCTCTAGGCAGGCCAGGTGCACATCCTTGATGATGCAGCCACAGCTGGTCAGCACCTGCTGCTTCAGGAGCAGGCAACTCAGCTCCAGTGTGGCCAGCCGGATCTTCCCATCTGCAGAGCACAGCAGGATCAGCCTGGCATCCCCCGGTGCCGAGTATCCTTAAAACCAAGGCCCTTCCTGACCTACTGGAAGGCTAACCTGTCAGCGATAGGCAGACTGCTTAAGGTCCCCAGCCTGCAGCAGAGATACACACAGAGGGACCCTCCACGTGCCAGCCCTTTCCAGATCTGTCATCTGTATACCAAACACCTCCCAGAAGGCCTGTATCAGGGGCAGGGAGGTGGGAAAGGAAGGGCAGTAAAGGTTGCTGCAGCCTGGAGTGCAGTCTTCATTGGTGGCGATGCCTGGCCAACACACGCTCTCCTGCTTCTAGTGTGGTCTCCTTCGTTCTTCCAGGGATGATAGGCATGTGGCCCAGGCCAGTCAGGTGTACCAATCCCCTAGTCCTAGTGATGGGGTAGGAGGAGGCAAGGAGCTAGGGAGAGCCAGAGAGGCTCCAGTCTATAGACTGCTGAAAGCACTAGTGTCAATCCTGTGCAAAGCCCAGCAGCTCTGGTGGGGACCTGAACAGTGCAAGCATTGTCATCCCATCAACCACCTCCTCGCCCTACACTACAAAGTGTCTGCAAGGACAGTCCTCAAGCTCTCAAGATCACAAGCTCCCTCTTCCAACCAGACTGTACAAGCCGTGTCTCCCACAGAGCAAGCATGCAGCCCCAGGAGAGAAAGGGTGGCTAATACTGCTGGGGATTATCTTGCCAACCCAGATGGTGACAGGGTCCAAAGGTTTCTGGAAAACATTGTCTGGTGCCTGAAGCCAGCTCCTCAAAGACTTTACAAGGCAAGTTTTATTTGCTTGTGTTGTTTAAAGCCAGTATGAGTTGGTTTTCTTTTTTTTTAATTAATTGATTAGTTAATTAATTTTTTGTTGGTCGTGGGGCCTGAACTCTGGGCCTGGGCGCTGTCCCTCAGCTCTTCAGCTCAAGGCTAGTGCTCTACCACTTGAGCCACAGCGCCACTTCTGGCCTTTTCTGCTTATGTGGTACTGTGGAATCAAACCCAGGGCCTCATGCATGTAAGGCGAGCACTGTACCACTGAGCCTCCTTCCCAGCCCTGAGCTGGGTTTCTAACTGCAACAGAGTCCTTCCTGTCTACCAGATCTGCCGTGCCTATCTGCTGTGAGCCAGGGTAGGTGTCAGGTGCCCTCTTGAGGAACTGCTAGAGAAGTCGCTGTGGAGTGAAGTGACTTGTCTAGGGTGTCACAGCTGGGCAGTGAGGATGCCAGGTGCCCTGCCAAAACCCACGCCTGGCACCTCTCCCAGAGCATTGGTAACAGTTGGCCAAAGTCCAACTGTGGGCTGGACTGTGGGTCTTGCACATGGTTTCTAAGGAAAGGTCCAGGAGGGAGGGAGTGTCCAGGCCCTGCTAACTGCACTCCTGCTGCCACCCCAGCCCCTAAAGATTCCTGACAAGGAGTTGCCCCCCGCCCCCATTCCACAGCAGCCCCCGGACTCCTCAGTGCAGTTTCCGGACTGGCTCTGGGCTGCCTGAACCTCTTCTCTTTAGCAGCTCGGGCTGTCTGTGCACCCTGGGAGAGTCCTCTCCAGACACGGCACCCACGCCATAATCCACCTGCGTCAGCTGCTTGCCTCCGCATGGCTGGCTCCCACGCCTCCCTTGCTGTGCTTCCCAATGTGCTCTGCTGCCCTAAGCAAAGTGGAGCCCGTTGGACACCCCCTTCATCCCAAGTCACCGCCTCTCTTCTCTGGCTCATCGCCTCTCTCCATCGCCTCCAGTGCAGTGTCCAGTGGAGTGTCCAGTGCAGTGCCCCAGGTGCCATCATGACACCCCCTCTCTTCTGGGTTTCACAGGCCAAGAGTGGCACTAGACCTGACCTCTTCTCCACATGGCACTTCAGGGACCATGGCACTGGATCCCCCAACTTCTGCGACCCTGGTCAGTCATGCCACAGCTGGCATGCAGGAGGCTCTCTGTAAACTCCTCTGTGATGTTCACGGGCCTAGGCCAGCTCTCCAAGCCTGTGCTGCTCACCAGCATGTATGCACCACTGCCCCTGTATCTCTGGAAGCTCCTAGCTCCATCACAACTTCTGCCCCGGCCTCCCATGGGCCTGGGGCTCACTCCCCTGAGGCAGGGAAGTGAGGACAGGCCTTCCCATGTCACTCTCCTGACTTTGTGCAGGATTTGCCCAGCAACTGGCTCGGCCCCAGCACTGCTGACACCGTGGGTCAGGTCATTCCGTGTCATGGGCAGTCCTGTGCACTGCAGCACATTTAGCAACATCCTCTGCCTCTCTCACTACATGCCGGTAGCATACTTAGCTGTGATGACCAAAAATGGCCCCTGGGTGGCAAAATCACCCAGCTGAGAAATGCCTTGCCAGGGCATCTTGTGGTCCCTGGCTACAGATAAGTATTGCTCAGATCAACAAGGTAGTTAGGCTGCTCAATGCCAGGGCTGGCACCTCACCCAAACTTTTAACCCTCCCTCACCCTACAGCAAGACCTTGGGCCACCCAGAGAGGAAGACCACAGGCACTGACAAAAGCAGCAAGACTGAGGAGGAGACCCAGAGATGCAGGCCTGGCACGAGAGGCGCTGGTGGCTAGGGGCAGAGTGGGAGGTCTTCTCCAGCCTCCCTGAAGGGTCAGGTCTGGAACCAGGGCTGGCAGTACCCGGTCTCAGAAGAACCTGACTCCTCCGTGAACACACAGCACCCCTGGGTGGGCACCTTGCTGGGCAGCATTATTCATGATCCTGATGAGCCTCTCGGCCAGGAGATGGTTGTAGGTGGTCTTCTCCGCAGCATTTGGTACTGGCAGCTGGATTCGCTCAAGTTTTTCAGGATCCATGCCTGGGGTGGAGAAAGGGTAAGGACATAAGTAGAGATACTTGACTTGATGGGAAGGTTTGGGCTTCTGAGAGGCACTGAAGAATGGGGTTTTCAACCCCAGCCGCCAAGCTCCATCTCTGTGACTTTTCCCAGGCCGGGTTACTACCTAGACAGAACTCATGTCTGAGTCCTGTACACTGAAATATGTGGACGTAGCTAAAGTATACATCTTCCATTGCTATTAATAGGAAATCACATGGACAAAACAATGTCTCCACGTTCTACTACTGACTGCTGACTATCTACTCATTGTGGCCAAGGCCTGCTATATCTTTGGTAAAAAGGGAGACTGACAGGACCTGCCTGGTGAGGACAAACTGACCCCCTGAGACACAGACGAGGAATGGAAGCCTAATTTTCCCACAGGGTGACTCGCTTCCCTTCTGTGCCAGGTCTGGAGACCCTGAGGTCACCCTGTATGGGTCCATCCCACAGCGGGGGAAACTCAGAGCCAGAGGTAGAGAGGGCAGTTGTGGGAGGCCCCAGCCTGCACCCCTCTGCCTGAGTGCTGGGGTTATATGTGTGCACCACCACACCTGGCTAAAATCTCCTCCACAATGGCCTCTATTTTCAAAACTGTGCAGTCCACTACCCACAAACTCCAGACATTCCTCTGGTCCAGCTGCCTTTAAAAGCACTTGGAGACCCTTGACCACATCAAATGTTTCTCAAGCAGGCCCCGTGTACTGAAGCACCCACTCATAACAAACGTCAAATTGCCCAGGTCTCTTTGGATATTGAGTTGGTGCACTGGGGAGGAAACAGAGGAGGCCTCTGCTATGAGGACAAGCTTTAGAGCATGCACAAGGCCCTGCGTTCCGTCCCTAGCACCACACAAAGCAAAACAGAGCAGAACAAACCAGACAATCTGTCCTTCACAGAACTGGGACATATTATGTACAATGCTTGGTTTAATCCTATGTTCAATGTGATCTCCAGTCTACAGATTGAGAGACAGAAGCTCAGAGAAGATGAGAAGGTCATCTGAAGGACAGGGAAATCCCAGAGCCAAATGTGGCCTGACTCCAGGCCCCTTCCCTGCACCACCTCTAACGTGTGTCCCATGACCTCTGCCCCAACTATGGTGACACACAATTGAGCAGTGGCCTGATACAGAGATAACAACCATACACTCTGCAGAATTTAGTTTTGAAAAGAGTAAACTAAATTCCGACCAAACTCAGCCCACTACCCAAAGAGGGAGAGGCTTAGCCAGGTCTCAGAGTTGGGTATAAACACCCACAAAGTAGGAGCTGTAATGTGAGACTGTGCAGAAGAGCGCTGGAAAGAATGCAACAGAACTGTCAGCAGGTGGTTAGTGCAAAGCAGCTCAACCCCAGGCAGTGAGGAGACAGACCACTCATTTGGCTGTTTTCTATAGCCAGAATTACATCACCTTTTGCTAATCCTAGGAAGGCATCTAATTGTAGGAAAGCATTTGGTTTGGTATTTTAACTATCTCCCTGGAACAAAATGGCGCCAGCATTCCTGATCCAGGGAGCGCAGCCTGCATGCATCACAGTAGATGGGGCAAGGACATGTATGAAGGGCAAAATGGACTTGGGTGGGAGGGCGCATATAATACACCCACGCTGTGTGCTGCACAGTCACAGCAAGGCAGGTTCGGTGGCAACCCAACAGAGGTTCTCTGCCAGTCACTGCCCTCTGACTGAAATAAACACAGTGGATAATAAACATATTGTCCCACTGACTCAATGCTCCTGGCGACACACTCCAAAGAAGCCCGTGTCCACAGATGCGCTGGCTCCAGATCACTTCAGCAAGCCACATGCTTCACTACTCCCTCCTGCCAGAAGCCTTGCACTCCAGTCACAACAGCAGTCTGTCCCTCTGCATAGGTGGGTGGCTGGGAGGGAGCTGAAGGGAAGGGCGTGGCTCGGCGCTGTGGGTAGCTGGCCTTCCTCAGTGGTAGCCCCGTTCAGGGCAGGGGTGGAAAGGACCCAGACCAACGCTACACAGTGGGAAGCAGACAGGAACCCTGGAGGAATAGCGCGTGTTGGCACCAGTGTTTAGTTTCTTTTCCCCACACAAAGTCTCCCTGGCTATAGTCACGCATGTGTGGCCAGCTTCGGCAAACAGAGAGACGCGATTTCGAAAGCTAACCAGATGTGGGGCCAATTGCCAGTGGACTTCCAGTGTTGATCATGTGTCAGCTAAGAGTCCACAGGAGGCTCCACCGCTCTCCACCTGCATGCTCTTACCTTCCAACCTTTCCCAATCCTTCCACCCGCCTTCCAGTAACTTTTAAGCAAAGCAATACACAGAGCTCAAGACTCCTTCTATGCAAACAGTGAGAAAGGGAGAAGCAGGGGGTGAGGGTGGTGTGTGCACTGGAGAACCATCTAGAATCCCAACATTTCACAGCACACGCCTCCGCCCCAAGCCGGCCCCATGACTCGCCACAAAGCCAGGCTGCCTTTCCTCTTGCAGATAACTAAGCAGAATTCATTATGTTGCTGGACAGCCACGACAAGCCCTTCCTCCAGCCAGCAGCCCTTCCCACCCAGGGCTGCTCATGTTGGTGCAGCATCTAATCTATTATGATTTACTGGAAGGCCTGAGCTCACATTTGGTTTCTATTAACATTACTTTTATGTTAAAATTGTCTTAGAAGGAAAAAAAAAATCTATTGGAAAGAGACTCATTCAGAGGCCTGCTTGTGGGTAAGGATCTGTTGCCTAACCAGGAAACCAGCCAGTGAACCACCACCACCACCACTACCTAATGCCAGGACAGGAAACAGCTCCTCCACTAGGTGGCATTCCCAGGACCTAGGTCCTGGGGGAGGAAGGACTTTCCAGTTCTTTAAACCTGCTCCATAGCCTATACTGGTCACTAGCTGTCCAGAGGTCCCGGCCCTCCCCCACATCCCTCCCACTCAAGCCCAGTAGAATACCCCATCCCTATTCCCTTTCTCTCTCTCTCTCTCTCTTGGTTCCCACCCCCCCCCCCTGTTGGTAAAGGGCTCCAGCCACGCTGCAGGTTCAGCAGTGTGTCCTTCTCCCTTAGCTCACAGCCAGCCCCTCAGCACAACATGGCCCCAGCTCCAAAACCTACCCTAGATTCTTGCAGTTCCCTCAACTCAGCTGCCAACACCCTAATCCCATCTACATTATCTCCTGTCCTGCGGGGATTACTGCAGCAGCTGCTAACGAGTCTCCAGCTTCCCCTCTCTTGTAACCGCGCACCAGCCCCCTTTCATGTGCCCTCCATCCAACAGGCAAGGGTCCTTTAAAAGCTTACATCTGGCAGGGCGCTGAGGGCTCACACCTATCATTCTAGCTCCCCAAGAGGCTGAGATCTGAGGATTACAGTTTGAAGCCAGCCTGGGCAGGAAAGCCCCCTCCCCCTCACCACCCCCACCCCCCACCTACCCCAGCTCCGCAAGATACTTAGCTCCAATTAATCAGCAAAAAGCCAGAACTGTGGCTCAAGTGACAGAGTGCCAGTCTTGAGTGAAAAAGCCACGGGATAGTCATCCAGGCCCTGAGTTCAAGCCTCAGTACCACCAGAAAAAAAAAAAAAACAAGTAAAAATTTCCATCTGATCATGTCACTTCTACATTCAGAAATCAAATTTAACTTCCTTTGCTTGACTTCAAGGCCCTTTCTGATCTGGTTCCCCTCACACCTGCTCAAGCTTTACTTTCTGCTCCTCAAATATGTGAGGACTTTCCCACTTCAGGACTTAGTCTGTACTGCTCCCACTGCATGGAGCACTTTGCCCAGCACTCTGCAGAGTTGGCTCCTTTTGCACTCTGGGCCTTGTTTTGGATATTCCTGTCTGGAGCAGCCTGCTCTGAGCCCCCGGCTAGTAACTGTGCCCCACCAGTTCCAGTGTCTCCTCCTGGCTCCTCCCTGTTGCTTTCCTTCTTCCTTTTCCCACTACCCTGCTTCCTCTTCTTGACACTTGAACAGAGTCATCAGTCAATAGACTTATTCCAGGGACTACAACAGTGCACAGAGCAAGAGGTCTCGCAGAAGCTTGCTAAATGACAACATAGCCTTTCCATGTCACGGTCCACACCTCCCATCATGCCCATCACATCACACCAGTCACTTCCTAGTCCCGCTAGCCCTCACAGGCCTCACACAGCTTACAGGGACACAAGTGACACCCACTGCCCATGCATGCTGCCTCACAGGCTGGCTCCTGGAGCGGCCGGCCTGTGCTGGTAAATGGACCCCACCCCAGACGACCCTGTGCCCCCTCTCCCTCTGCTCCAGGCCAGTTTTTCTTTAAACTTCCTGGCCTTTTCTTCCCAGCTCCCAAACCATTGCCCCAGGCATCCTGAGGAAGCCGGACCACTCCTGTGGGCAGGGTCTACCCCTGCCCCCAGGCACACATCCTCTGCACTGAGCAATCACCATGTAGGGCTGGTCTAGCAGCCCAGGCTGAGAACACGGCCTACAAACAGTGAGCTCTAGTACATCCAGTACATCGCTCAGGAACAACCTGACAGTCTTTTAGAACCAGAGGAGATTTCTGACAACAAAGGTGACAAATACTGACCCAGGCGCCTACACAATATTCAGAGCAGCTTTTTCCCTAATGATGAAAATCTAGAGATGGCCACAGCCCATTCACAGAAGCACAGGTGGCTGGATACAGGAGCTGGATGCGTTCAGACTATGAAATATGGCTCAATAATAGAAAAAAATGAACATATACACATGGGTGAATCTCAAAATAATAAAGTAGACTGAAAGAAGCTATTCCCACACCATCTTTTGAAGAACACAGGAGAAAATGGCATGAGCTGCCCTGATGAGGACGGCAGGAGAAACAGGTGGAGGGAAGAAGTGTGTCACACTATGTTCTTTAGAGTTGATCAACTTCATTTTCATGGTCAATGACTTAAGAGTAAATACTTAGCTGTGCTGAGTACATTTTAATGTCTCTAGCCACAGGCTGTCTCAGTACCACCGCCCCGCCCCCCCCTCTTGCCCACCCCCAGCCAGCTCAAGGAAAATGCCTGTAATGACACTGGCACTGTGGCTCATCGCTTGCCAGGGGATGGCAGATATCCCATAACTGGCAGTGGAACCAGGCAGGGCAAACACCAGTCTGTTCCCCGGAGTGGGCAGGGAGGGTGACGGGGCCTGGCGACTGTAAGGTGCGCTGACTCCTGGCCTCACGGCCACAGCAGGGGAAGCCAGAGAGCAGCCCTGTCTTCAGAGAGGAAGGTATGCTTCCAGTCAGGTCTATTTCAGCCCCAAACCCACAGCAAGAGCACCGAGGTATAAATAGCAACACCAAGGTTGCGCGCAGGCTGATTCCACTTCTGATGTTAGGAGGGTGGTCGCTGACTGAGTCAGTTGGAGAGCGTGGGGTTGGCAGAAGCCACAGTGTGAAGCCAGCTTCTCTGGGTCACACAGCTACTTCCTATCCATTCCCCATCTTGCCTGCACCACTTATTCCTGTGGCTTCACTTGAGACACTGTGACAAGTCCAACCTGAAGGCCACAGAGTGGCCCGCCGCCCCCAGCCCTGGCACACAGCAGAGGCAGGGGCTCCCAAGCTCAGGGTCCTTGGCGGAACAGGGCAAAGGCACACCTACCTTTGTTATGAGACATGGCATAGAGGAGGCAGAGCACGAAGAGGGCATGGTAGTCATCATCAGGGCTGTCCAGGGCATGGTACACCATATCCAGGAAGGGTCTGGAAGAGAGGAGCATGCCTGAGCCTCTTGGTACAAAGTGTATATCTCTCCCTCCTGCCTGTTCCAGGTGCCCTTGCTTTTCACAGCTGGGGCTCCAAGGCCTCTGTGCTTCAGAGAGTTAGCACAGGGGCAGTTAACACAAATGGAAAAGGTCTACAGAGGGAAACTGACCAATGAAATAGATCACGTATTCACCCAACAATCATTTATCTATGGGGGAGGGGGGTCAACAATATGAAAGCCTTGCTCTTCACACTCCCATGCACCTGGCAAAGAATACATAATCACTTAAAGGGGTGCCACAAGAGAACGAGCAAAAGAGGGCAGCGTGAGACACCAACAACATAAAATAAGTCACAAATAATAACATGAGCAAGTTTAAGAATGTGGGCCCCAAGGCCAGACATAATAGCTCATACCTGTAAGTCCCAGCTCTTGATGGGAGGATCATAGTTCAAGGCTACCAGGGGACAAAAAGTTAAGAGACCCTCATCCCAACTAGTAAGTTGGGCATGCTGGAAGGTGCCTGTCATCATCTTAGCTAGATAAGATGTCAAAACAGGATGACTGCAGACTAGGCTGGCCTGGGGAAAACAATAAGAGACCATACACGAAAAATAACTACATCAAGAAGGAAGGGAGGTATGGCATGATTGGCAGAAAGCCTATCTAGCAAGTATAAGTCCTTCAAAACCCAGTACTGTGAAAACAACAACAACAAGCAAAAAACAGAAACAATGACAAAGAAGATCAAGGACCCTAGAGCCAGACTGCTTGGGACCTAATTCTGATTTGGCCTCCTCTTAGCTGCAAACCCTCTGGCTAGTACCTGTCTCCCAAGTATGAAAGCATCAGAAGCAGGCAGGTGACTGAGGAGACTCAGGGGCGGGGCCGACTGGCAGTCACTTGGTGTAGGCTAGACACTGAGAAGGGGAGAAGGGCCAGGACCTGGCAGCTGCTGTCTCCCTGCTAGCTTTAATGTTCCAAGGTCACTTCGTGGTTATGTTTTGACAGGTCATGGCCCGGCAGCTGCTTGGGCCAATGTTCCTTGACCATAAGAATCGATAGCAAGGTGTCTCACCTCCAGAGCTTGGTGGCCAAGAGCTAAACAGTGTCTGGCAGCATCAGAAACCACACATCCCAAATGCTGCCCTTCCAGGCAAGGCCTGGCTGGAAAGATCAACACAGGCTAGTGGGACATGCACAGAGCAGAGAAGGAGGCTGAGATCCTGTGGTCATCTGTGGCTGCTGCTTCTGAGAACCAGGTTGAGGCCAAGAAAGCAAAGCAGGCCAGAGAGTGCCCACAGGCACACAGAAGGGTGCACAGAGCGCTGTGGTGCGGGCTGTCCACGAGGAGTAACAGTGGAGATGGACACCGCTCTGAATCCTCAACTCCGTAATGTACCCTCAGAACAAAATACCCGTCCGACAAGGGAGGAATGTCCAGAAATATTAAAAACCAAAACAAACACCAAGAGAACAAATAGCCTCATCAATAATAAGTGGGCAAATGAATTGAGCAATTTTCAAAAGAAGTTCACATGGCCAATAAACACACAAAGAAATGTTCAACATTCTTAGCTGTAAAGGATATGCAAATCAAATCTACATTGAGATTCTGCCTCAGCCCAATCAGAATGGCCATCATCAATAACACAGAAGTAATTCAAGTGAGGGGGCAGGAGAAAGAGGGACCCTTCCACACTGTTGACGGGAACGTAAACTAGTGTAGCCACTACGGAAATTAGAGTGGAATTTCCTCAAAAAACTAAGAATTGCCTTATGATCCAATGATACTACTCCTGAACACAGATCTGAAGAAATACAAGTCAGCCTGCGACAGAGGCGCCTGCACACCCAGTGTAAAGCAGCACTATTCCCTACAGCCAAGCTATGGAACCAGATTATGTGTCCACCTATCAGCTAATAAAAGGAGAAAGAAAATGTGGTCCATATACACAATGGAATATTATTCAGCCACAAGGAAGAATGAAATTATATCATTCCCAGGAAATGGATAGAACTGGCTATCCTCACAGTAAGCGAAATAAACCAGACTCAGGAAAACAAAACATGGCATTTCGCATGTACATTCTCATTCTCTCTCTCCCCGTCCTGCCCTTGGTGGGACTAGGGCACACTCGGGAGCTCCCACAGGAGAGGTCCCTGTGGGGGTCTGTGTAGGTGGGCCACATGACAGGTGAGGAAACAGCCCTGGAATGAAGAGGCCCTGGAACAGCTGATGGCCGGCTGACAGGTGGTCCTCTCTGAGGCGGAGCAGAACCCAATCTGGCAGGCCTACCAACTCTATCCTGGAGCTTACCTGTTCCACTGCACGTTCTCAGAGCAGGTGGCGGCTGCGCTCTTCTCCTCATCCGTGGTGTTCTGCTCCTGCATCGAGGTGCTGGCAGCCAGCTCTGAGAGCTTGCTCCGCTCCATGATCACCATCTCGATCTCTGCAAGCAAACGTAGAGACTGGCTAAACCCAGAGCCCCACAGAGCCAGATTTACAGATTCATGTGCAAGATGAAGCACGCAGAAACCGCTCCTGCTATGTCAAGTTCAGCAGCAGGACCTGAATGCCAGTGCCACGCAGAGGGAGAAACAAGACTTGCTGTTCATCTTGGCAACATCTAGACATGTAGCTCGGCCTTTGACAACAAAACACAAATTGCTTTCATTTGCATTATACGTGGTTTTAAAAAGGTAGTTTACTTTATGGGCGCCATATTTCCTTCCCAAATGATTGAAGTCGCTTACAAGGCATGATGTGTGGTTAATAAGACAAATCCATAGGAAGTATTCTGAAGCTGTTTACACTTTGCAAAGCCACACCTCCTGCTAGCTGTCAAGGACATCACCTTTGGGCCCTTGCTACATTCCAGAAGGCAATCACCTTCACACCTTGACCAGCCTAGGATGCCTTTCATTCAAATGTGATTCCTCTTTGGTCAGAGAAGCAACAGGCATGACCTCCAAATTTAGGTGTCCTGTCTTCTCTTGACAGCAGGGGAAGGTAGGAGAGAAGCCTTTGTAGGAACTTAAGCGAAGGGGAAGGGAGCTGCTGGGAGCTGCCAGGAACTCAGGCGAGGCCAGGCTGTGACTGGCTTTGGAACCCAGTTGCAAGGTGTGAGTAATGCAGCAAGGATGGAATATGCTAGGGATTTGCAGGCTCCTGCCCTTAGATTACAGTCACCTATCACACTGCAGGAGACTGAACTGGAGTGGGTTTCTGGGCAAGGCATTTGTCAGAGGATACATCCTTGTTTACCTCATTCTGTCTTTGCATCTGATTACAGGCACTAGAAGCTGACAGCCCACATCTCTCCTTCACCTCTCCCACCATTCACAAACACACACTTACCTCCCTCATTACTAGAAAAATGGGTCCTGCCCTCCACCAAGGGCCTCAACTACTACTTGGTGCTCTCATGTTAAGCTAAATGCTGCAGTGTGGAGATTCTCATCATGCCAACACAAGGACTGGACCTCAGGAAGGCCTTCTTCCAGGTAGATGAGGCAGAGGGAAGAGAACTTGCCTCGAGTCACCCAGCTGCTCAAGGACAGGGCCAGGATTTAGACTCCAACTTCCCAACAGTAAGTCCCTCAATCTGAACACAGACAGGCGTTTCAAGATATATGAGGCTAGGTTCCATTTCATTGTAGTTGAGACTTTTTTTTAAAGAAAAGAGGGGGGTGGAAAACCCAGATACTATAGTTCATACCTATAATCCTAGCTATTTGGAATGCTGAGAGTGGAATAACGGGGTCTCAAGAATAGCCTGCAAGAAAAAAAAAAAAAAAAAAAAGAATAGCCTGCAAAAAGTTTAAGACCCTGCCAGGCGCCATTGACTCACACCTGTAATCCTAGCTACACAGGAGGCTGAGCTCTGAGGATCGCAGTTCAAAGCCAGCCCAGGTAGGAAAGTTATTGATGAGATTCATCTCCACTTAACCACCAGAAACTGGAAGTGGTGCTGTGACTTAGTGGTAGAGTGCTAGCCTTGAGCTGAAGAGCTCAGGGCCAGTGCCCAGAGTGCCCAGTGGCCAGAGTTCAAGCCCATGACCGACCAAAAAAAAAAAAAAAAAAAAGACCTCCATTCAACCAATATAAAAAGTGAGGCATAAGAGTGTGCACTTCATTCCAGCTATGCAAGAAATATAAATAGGAGGATCACTAAATAGGAGGATCACAGTCAAGCTAGCCCCAGCAAAAAGTGAGACCTTACTGGAAAGAATAAGAGCAAAAAGGAATGGGGGTGTGACTCAAGTAAGTAGAGCACCTGCCCAGCAAGTGCAAAGCCCTGAGTTCAAAAGCAAAGCGGAAGGTCTAAACTCCCAGGGATCCCTCAATCTCTGCTGACTTTACTCATACCTTTGCTGGAATTCCAGATAAAGAACAGTCTCTGAAGGTCAGGCTCAGGCTGAGCAATGAATACCTACTCATTCCAAAGACAAAAAATAAAAGCCCATCCCTATTGGTTTGAAAGATTCAATCTCTAGCCTCAGGTCTGCTGATTAAGTTATGGCTCTAAGTAAATCAAAAGGAGGCTGTCCTTCCAGTCTGAAGGGCGAGCAGAGTGGGAGACTGCGCACTCCCTGGCAGGTCTGCTTCCTGGGCGGAGCCTGCGCTTCTTTGGTTACAGAGGCTTTGACACCCCTCTTGTTCTTTTAATATTCCACGTCGGCAGACTTGGGGCCCTGTGATTTTTGTGGTTTCAGAATGAATCACCTATTCTTGGGACTGACGGAGAGCACATTTCTTTGCACCCTAGGGATGGGAGTAGATGGATTAGGGGCACACACTCATCTCACACAACTTTCTTGTCTGTGCTTAAATGTGGAGGAGGTGTAATTTCTGGGTGCTGTATTTGTTTTAAAAAAAAAAAACCCACAAAACATTAATGCCATATTCAATACAGATCATTGCAAAACTGTCTTGTGACCAAGTTTTTTGTTTTTTTTTGAGATAGGGTCTTGATAGCTATATCTATATCTGTCCATCTGTAGATAGTCTATAGATAGATAGCCAAGCCCAGAATGCTTCCTGTCTCTCAAGGGCAGGGATTACAGGCTGATGCAACTACACCTAGCTTATTCTTTTTTTTTCTTTTCGGTTGGTTGGTTTTGAACTCAGGGCCAGGGTGCTATCCCTAAGCCTCTTTGTGTTCAAGGCTACTACTCTCCCACTTGAGCCACAGTGCCACTTCCGGTTTTTGAGTGGTTAATTGGAGATAAGAGTCTCATGGGGACTTTTCTGACCAGGATAGCTTCAAACTGCGATCCTCAGATCTCAGCCTCCCGAGTCACTAGGATTACAGGTGTGAGCCACCAGTGCCCGGCTTACTTTATCTTTTTAAGTAGACAGTGTGTTACAGGAATGGAGATAGCAGAGGTAGGGAAAGATTAGTGCCAGCACCTCTTTACATAAGAGTCTGTCCCAACCGGGCTGAATATCATTCACTTCAACACAGTACGGGGGAAGGTGCCTGGCGTCTCCCAGGAGGGAGCACCCAGAGCACAGTGGCTCGATACCCACGCCCTGGCTTCTGATACTGGCGCCTCACATGATTAAAGGATCGGCCACAGGGCCCTGATGCAGGTGTGGCTAAGAGCCACACAGGAACGAACAGCTCCGGGGTGGAGGTGGGGGGCTAGAGGGATGTGGGGGAGACAACACTCCATTGCACCTCAAGCCTAAGGCCAAGAGATCAGAGATATTTCAGAAAGCTCCAAAATGCAGTGCTGCTGCCTGGCAGCATGCGGCCCACAACGGCTGCATACGTAGCTGTGGAGCCATGTAGGAAGATGACAGGCCCATCATGTTTTACACTGATTAATATATTCAAGAAATGACAAGGACGGGGGGAGGAGGGGGGGAGTGTCACTGAAAGCCATGCTTGTCTGAGTTCTGAGGTCAGCAACAGGCCCAAAAACAAGCCCCTTGGGAAATTCTAGGGCCCTGCTTTGGGAGCTGGATGACCCGCCTCCCTGCCCCATCCCCTGCAAGTGGAAGCAGGGCTCAGCACCAGGGAGCCCATCCCAACCCAGCAGCCTTGCTGAGCTGGCCTGCAGCCCCTGCATCCTGGGACAGGGACACTGGGCTCACTGGAGATCCTCTGGGGCCAAGCCTGCCCTGTCCATGCTTCGGTTAGTCACAGCTAAGGTCTGGCTAGAGAGCAGCCCTTAAAAGGGCTGGAATGAAAATAGGCACATCTTTCCAAGACAGAATGGACAAGAACATAGTGTACAAGATGAAGTAAAGCTGTCCACTTTGCCCCCTGCGTGGCCACGCACTGACTAAATTGAGCTTAAACACTCCACCTTTCTTCCTGGTTAAGAAGCACCATAAAATGACTGGCAGAAGCACACGAGTATGATTTACCTACCTTGTGTTTGTCCCTCAACTTCCCCACCAAAGGGACAGCTTTTGGCAAAGGTTGCTCAGGCCAAAAATGAGCTAGGCCAAAATGCTTACTGCTTACTGAACAGGAATCAAAGCAGGCTAGGGAAGTCAGCAGCAAGAAGAGACTATGAGGCACCGGGGCCAAGTCTTGGTCACATTTATTGACATGTAAGCATGGCATTTGCTGACATGGGCTAAGAAAATAAATCCTAATAGCCAGGCACCATTAGCTCACGCCTGTAATCCCAGTTACTTAGAAGACTGAGATCTGAGGATCACAGTTCAAAGCCAGCCCTGGAGAGAAAATCTGTAAGACTCCTATCTCCACCTAATCACCAGAAACCCGGAAGTGGCACTGTGGCTCAAAGTGGTAGAGTGCTAGCTTTGAGCGGAAAAAGCTCAGGGACAGCTCCCAGGTCCTGAGTTCAAGCCCCATGACTGACAAAAAGAAGATCCTAACAGGGCCTGAGAATGGGGACAGCAGGGCATGTCCTGGTTTGTCTAGAGGCAAAGGGTACCCCAGTCTGTGCTTCAATTCAGAAGCCCTGCGATGAGGCTTCAGACTCACTACTACCAGCCTAGCGCTGACGGAGCTCCATGCCCCACAGCCCCGCAGGCCACAGCCAGGCTGCTCAGGAGAGGGTGCACCTGTCCCATTGTGTGTGGCTAGACCTCCAACGTATGCTTGGTGCCCCCTTGCCACATCATCACCACTACCACCATCACTACCACCACCACTACCACCACCACCACCACCACCACCATTCCCCCTGCCCCAAGCTGCAGCCAGAGGTACCGTGTGTGGCTGTTAGCCTGGTCCATGACTTGGGCATCTGGCTGGTTCAAGTACATTTCCTGCCAGCACAAATGCTATCTAGTTCAGGCAGTATCATTTCGGAATGTGAGCCTGTGGATCCCAGGCAGAGCAAAAAAGGAAGGAAGGGCCCTGCCAACCTAGTGTGCCTAAGCTGCACAAGTGTGCCTCCCGCACACACGGGGGAAGCAGGGGACTGTGAGTGCACCGACTCCATGAAAGCCAGATCTGTTCCAATAGGTAATTTCATTAAATGTGGGCCTCTTCCCACAGTGCCTGGGTGCGTATCAATAAAGATGAGGGAAGATGGTGACAGTAATGATGAGAGGTAGCTGCATAATAAATACCTAGAGAGCATGCAGTACAGGCCAAGCTCTGTGCTGGGCAGAGCAGGTGTATTCTTTCATTAATTCTCTGCAGAGCACCACAAAGTGGGGGCCCTTGTGGCCCTCTTTGTACTGACAGGAAGCCTTGCTCCAGGCCCCCACCTGACCAGGATGGGTTTGGCCCTAGACCTGCTGGGACCGCCCCCAGCTGCCTCTGAATGGCTGTGCTGTCTAGATGAGGTACACTGGTGGGCAGCAGGCACGAGCGGAAGCACCCACAGGGTACACGTGGGGCAGAAGTGACAGAGGACACAGACGGCAGCCGGTGGCTACAGCGGCGGGGTGCAGGGTGCTGTTCTTGGGTGCACTCACCTTCGCGCTCCCCACTCGTCTTCATGCCTTTTGAACCACCCTCTGTACCTTTAGCCTTCTCGGAGTCTTCCTGGCCATCCTCGGGGGGCCCTTTCTCCTCATCTTCTTCCTCCCCAACATTTTTGTAGTTGGGTCTTTTTTGCACCCGCCTCTTGCCCTTGTGCTTGTTCATCTCAAGGGACCGCTCAAGCGTCTCGGTGGGTTTAATGAAGCACCGGATGCTGGGCTTGGTCTAGGACAGTCCAAGAAAAGCAACAGATGAAGTGGAAGGCAGGGCTCTCCCTGGATGCTAGGAGGCCGCCCGGGAAGTCATGCTCAAACCATGGCCCTGGCTTAGTGCTGAGATGACCAATATCACTGTCACCATCAAATGACCAGCTGCCCCCTCCCTTCTTATGCCAGTGCTGAGTTCTGAACTCAGCTGTCCCTTTGCTCTTTTACTCAAGGTTGGCACTCTATCACCTGATCCACACCTCTACTTCCAGCTTCGTAGCAGTTAATTGGACTTTTCTGCCCATGCAGCTTTTGAGCCTCAATCCTCAGATCTCAGCCTCCTGAGTAGCTGTGATTACAGGTGTGCCCACGCCAGCCACCTTTACCACTCAGTCCTGCAACCAAAATGTTGTCTTTCATCCACCAGAGCTGTGCTCCCAAATACTAGTTGTCACAGCTTTCCTGCTCTTGCTCTTCCAGAGAGCTCTCACTGTGCATCTATAGTACCCAACCAGACAGCACCAGTGTCCCCACATTACAGTGCAGAAGCCAAGCTCTGAGGTCAACATAGCCAGGATAGGAGTGGATGGGCTCCAAACTGACATTCCACCTGCACATCTGGCTTTGCTGTCAGACTTAACTTAAAAAAAAAATGTGATAGTGTTAATAAACATTTGTCATTGTTGAAGAACAGGTTGCCAAAAACTTAGTCAAATATGCTGGTGTGTGTGGAATAAAGCAGTTTGGCTCCTCTGGAAAAGTCAAGCAGTGTCTTACATGCTTTATTGCACATGGACTGACCCAGCAATTCCGCTCCCAACTACCTGCCCCAAAGATGAAAACTTTTGTCACTTGTGTAACAACAACCTGAGTATGAGAGAAAAACATGGGGTGTTCTTCACACAAGAGTATTACCTGAAAATCAAAATGAATTAAGTAATCACATATGCTACAACAGGAATGAGTTTTCTTTTAATGGATGATGTAAAAGACCACATACTGTATGATTCTACAAGTCAAAGGTCCACACATACTGTGGATCAATGCTATCATTAACTTTAAATTTACATTAAGTTCATTTTCTTTATTGGTTGATTGATTGATTGAGGTGGTGGTCTTAGGGAAGAACTCAGGATCTAAAGTTCAATGCTGGATGATCAGTCTACCACTGAGCTACAAATGAGCTATTGTAGGAATAACTGTGCATTAGTTCAGGAAGAGAACACCAGCATGCTTTGCTACTAAAGGGATAAGAATGACTGCATGGCACACTGCATGCAGTCCCTCCCATGCCAGCTCTCCTTAGAAGGGGAGCCAGGTAAGTACTGGCAGTGAGCAAACACCAGCTCACTCCAAAGCATGTTCTCCCTATTAAACAGAGAGGCTTCAAAGAGCAAAGAAATGTCCCATTATTAGGGTTCATTTCCCATATTCCTCTATCTGTCTTTCTTACAGCCATGATATATAAGAATATGGGTCCATTTTAGAGTTGAGAGAATCAGGCTCAGAAGAGTCTGTAGCTATTGAGCCCAAGAGCCAGAATCTGACCAAGTTTGCTTGTCTCCAAAGCCCAGGTTCAAAGCAGCCAGGCCACAACCTTAGTCCTCACCATCTGCTCAGGATGGCAATGAAAACAGGGGGAGGGAAAGAACCCGGAGTGCAGGAGCCTCTCTTCCTCTCCCAAATCAGAGCCTGAGCAGAGGCTCGAGAGCCCTGGATGACCTGAGTGCCCAGTCATTGCTTTTGAACACTCTCCCAGCTGGGTACTCAAGGGAGCACTGGGTGTTTACAAGCTTCCTCCTCACTAAACCCTCCCCTCCCCACTCCCCCTCACACATATACACAGGAGTCTGTCTCCCCTGCAGAGGCCTGGCCCAACTTTCCTCTATCCAAATGGAATGCACAGGGCCCAGAAATCTGTTGGTTCTTTTTACTTGGAGCAAAGCAGGCAGACACAGTACTGGGAGGGGAGCAGAGCCCACCAGCCTGGTAGCCACACTGGCATCTGATTGTCCCCTGCCTGGCTGGAGCCAGCCATTTCTGAGTGCATTGTGATCGTTCTCAAGAGGAAGGGAGTCAGGTGGTTTGGAGTTTTGCTTCCAAACCTAAAATAGACATGCTATATTGCCCAAAATTAAAAAACAAAAATAAGTGTTTCTCCAGGAGCAGAGATTCAGTTCCATATTTAGTGCTCATTTTAAAGTCTAACTACAAGCTTCTGTATGCAGAGGTACTGGCCTGTCATCCCAGGAGCTGGGACAAGAAAAAAAAAAAAAATATATATATATATATATGCAAGAAGACGGTGTTTAGAGAGGAGCAGAGACAAAGGAAATTGATTGTTTAGGGCAGGATTTTGATGGTAGTGCTCTTCTCTTTGCAGACTGGATAATGTTCAGACATCATTTTGTCATTAAGAAAAAAAGTTTTAGAATAAACTTTTCCATTATCCTGATATAGATTATCTATCTTATGAATTTACCCCCAAAGAGTCACCAATTATATTGTGGGGGCCACTGCATGTTGCCAATAAGTGGAGAATGTTCAGGCACACAAATCAATTTCAATAGTGCTCCCAACAAAACCCAATTGGGAGGTGAATTAGCATCCAAATGCAAACATTCATTTTTATTTACCCACTTTGGACTATTCCACCACAAAGATGACAGATAAATTGAGATGGGGTAGCGCTGCTCAGGAAAGGCGGAGGAGGGCGCGTTGCAGATGCCAATGACCAGGGCCTGGATCAGAAGCAGGCTGAGCACGCAATGCCTGACAGACATATCCATCAGAGCCCGTTTGGGATCCTGACCGAAGGCAGCCCTGTGTGCTCCTCCCCCCAACCTCAACCCAGCAAGGGAGGACTGTAGGATAAAGTGACTCCCTTCCCCCATCACTGCCTTCTCCTGGGGAGTCTGAACACATGGCATGCCAAGAGACAGCTGCCAAACGCAGAAAACCTAGACCAACCCTTGAAGACAGACAAGTCCAACAGATGGGTGTAGAAATCCTTCCCTAAACTATGTGGGCTCCACTGTGCAGGATAAACGGCAGAACTGAGAGAAAGACAAAGGGCTCGGGCCATCAGAGAGCTCCGATCCCCAGAGCAGTTCATCAACCTTGTCAGAAACATGGGATGAGTAATTCTGGCCTCTGAGAACCCAGGAGCATTCCTTCAGGCTAAGACCACAGCTCATGGGGTCACCTGGAGCTGGTGTCCTTGGTGACAGCGGCAGTGTCCTTGGACAGAAGTACTGGCCAGTTCCCCAGGCAGCAGCCGCCGCAGCAGTGTGAGCCTCTGGGAGGCCAGTGTGGTACTGGGCCACTGTGTGGCCTCTCCAGCCAGCCACTAAAAGACACTGCTCACGACAGAGCAGCCGAGGGTGGGGGGACAGTGCTGTGCACCTGTGCTCCCCTCACGGGCTTCTCAACTCCTCCCTAGGGGAGGAAGGAAAGCAGTGGCTGCTAAGAAACCAGGAAAAAGGGCCTGAGGGCACCAGGCAGACCCCCTCGGGGAAAATCAAATAAAGAACCGGAATAGGGAGAAAGAAACTGGTGGCCACAGTGGGCTGGAAAGGGAAGGGGAGAGTGCTTGGCCCTGGGGATCTGTGTGGATGGGCAGGAGCTGTCGTGAGGAGAAAAACCAGACTGAGGAGAAACCTTCCCAGGCTCCCAGCGTTCACACAGCTCTGCTGAGGGATTACCACAGGGCAAGCAGACATCAGACAGACGAACGTGGGTGACGCATGGGGGCGTGTTACACAAGCCAGTGAAACAAAGTCCAAACACATCCAGAATGCACAACAGCACAGCATCAGAGAGGGGACTGAGAATGAACCCCAAGAGGCAACAGGCACATCCAGGTCAACATCTGTACTCTGAGACAGGAAGCCCTTCCGTCCCTGAGTCCTTATACCACCTGCTGCCAGCCAGCCAGCCAGCCAGCAGTGACGGATCTGCACTTCCTGGGATTAAGCCTGGTGGATAAGTCAGCAGGCACAGAGGGCACACAGTGTGTGAAGTTCCACGTCACCCAACGCTGCTATTGTCCCTGATGAGACAACAGCTTTGCCTTGGAGGTGCCTCCAAGGGAAGCACTGTGTGTTTCCATCAGTCCAGCCCCCAGCTCAGCAGCCAAGGGAGGAAGGCCTCAAACTGGGAGCGTGAGGGCACTGCACAGCCTCAGAAGCTGTGATTACTGTTACAGTAACATCTATGACATGCACACTGGGTGCCAGGTGCAGAATAAGCAGCACGCCCAGCATGGAATTCTCACTGCCAACATGAGCCCGTGCAAACACAAGCACAAGTGAACATGAGCACAAATGAACACAAGCACATGGGAAGAAGAGCACAAGAAAGGCAGAGGCCTGGAGGTGGAAACTCAGCCCTGGGATCCTAGAAGATGAGCAGCGGGCATCAGAGACACCTCAATGGCTCAGAGTACTAGGCTGCCTCCTATGGTGGCAGGTGGAACAGCACCAAGCATGGGCTCTGACACACCCCCTCCACCAAGGACCTGGAGCAGGCAGCTCCAGAGGCACTCAGAGCCAGCACACTAACTGATGTCATTCCCACACTGGCACCTCCTGAGCACCTTGGCAAGCCCCACAATGACGCCATCCCCGCCTCTCCATGGGGGTGGGTGGAAAGCCAGTGCAGGGGGCACACTTCAGTGGTGTGCCAGCCAACCTCTGAGCACAGGTGCACTATAGACATATGCCGGGGGGAAGGTGGGCACGAATACAGAAACCAAGGGAACTCTTTTAGAGACCTGGGACAAAAAAAAAAACAAAAAACAAAATAAAACAAAACAAAAACTTCTCTATAGAAAAGGATCCTGACAGGCTTGATGACACATGCCTGAAATCCTAGGACTCAAGGTGAAAGCAGGAAGGTCTCAAGTTCAAGGTTAGTCAGGGTTACATAGCAAGACTCTACCTCCAAAAAAATAAAAAATACAAATAGTAGCTGAATGCTGCAGGCTCATACCTGTAACCTTAGCTACTCAGGAAGCTGAGATTTGAGAATCACAGTTTGAAGCCAGCCTGGGCAAGAAATTTCATGGACTCTTATATCCACTTAAGCAGCAAAATGCTGGAAGTAGAGCTGTGGCTGAAGTGGTACAGTGCTAGCCTTGAGCAAAAAAACTAAGGGATGGCATCCAGGCCCTGAGTTCAAGTCCCAGTATTGGCACAAAATGTAAAAATAAAATAAAATAAAGTACCCACAGGTAATGAATGATGCATACCCCAAATTTTAATCTATATCCATTTTACAACATTCCCATGTTAGCTTCTTGCGGCTTCCCCACAAGAAGCACTCTGTCCCACATTAAGCTGGCAACAAGAATTGCCTTTAAGCAGGAACCACATGATTTTAATGCACAGATGAATTTCAATTAGATGCTTATCTGACCATGCTGATCTGTGTTAAGTTTAACCCTAAATTACAGTCTTTCTGAGTAACTCTGCTCTCCTCTTTGCTTCTCTCTCCAATTTTGGTTGGTTTGGTGAGAGTCTGCTAGTAAAAATGAAGTAATACCAGTAACTTATCTACATATTACGGGAAGGAGAAAGTAGGTTAAAAAAGACCAAGAAACTTAAAACAAGTTTGATCAACCACATCCGAGCCAGGCAGGAAACAATAGGAGACTGTTCTCACTCACAGGGAAGGAAGGTAAATCATACAGGACTATTGTCAAACAAGTCCCAGATGACAAGCACCTTGTCCAAGCCCTTCCCGGATTTCAGCTGCAGGCCTCAGAACACAAGCATCTTTGATGGCAGTGGAAAGGCTGTCCCTGGAAGGAGGGAACTGACAAATGACACTTTCACTTGAGCCACAGCCGCTCCTTCCAGGCCAGAGTCTGGATCTCAGTTCAGGCATTTGCCACAGCCACTGTGGGTCCCATAGTGGAGGTGAGACCATCCCTGCAAGAGGCCATCAGGAGAAAGGAAAATGTCTGAACCCTTCCTCTGATGAAAAGGTTCAGCTGAGAGGCAGCCAGTGACCTACAATGTGGTTTTGCTCCAGTCTGTATCCAGCTACGGTCCTGCAAGATGCCACCATGGGCCAACTCTGACACAGATTCTGCATCATTTCTTACAATTGCATGCAAATCCATACTATCTTAGTAAAAATAAATAAATAAATAGGTGTTGCTGGGCACCAATGGTTCACACCTGTAATCCCAGTACTCAGTAGGCTAAAATCTGAGAATCACAGTTTGAAACCAGCCCCCAAAGAAAAGTCTATTAGACTCTTATTTCCAATTACCCACCAAGAAGCCAAAAGTAGAAATGTGGCTAAAGTGGTATATCACCAGTCTTGAGTGAAGAAGCTAAAGGACAGTTCAAGCCCAGTACCAGCACTAAAATAAATAAATACATACATAAATATTATTTGGCAATTCAGAAAATAGACAATTTGGCAATTGAAGCAAGCAACCTACCAGGCAGGTTCTGGATACTTAAGATTGCTCTTCTCTCCTCTCCCCCAGTGATTGCACCTGCCAGGCAAATGCTGCCTGTCAAGTGATGGCATACAAACTCTTTTTTTTTTTTGTCACTTGTGGGGCTTGAACTCTGGGCCTAGGCATTGTCCCTGTGTTCTTCAGCTCTAGGCCAGCACTCTACCACTTGAATCACAGTGTCACTTCCGGTTTTCTGGTGGTTAATTGGCGGTAAGAGTCTCACGGACTTTCCTGCCTTGACTGGCTTTGAACCAGGATACTCAGATCTCAGCCTCCTAAGTATCTAGAATCACAGCCAAGATTCACCTAGCTCCCAGTGTCATACAAACTCTTGCCCAGGTCTTTGATTATTTTTGCCCTTGAGAAAAGGGAAAGATCTTGCCATTGTCTTTCATCTGGGCTGGCCTCAAACTTGAGATCTTTCTGCCTGTTTCCTGATTAGCTGGGATTACAGATGGGCCTGAATATATTTTCTCTACACCCTTACCAGTGGCCTCCAGAGTCAGGCTTGCTATGCTTGCCAACTGGGGTAAAGTACCTTGTCCAAGGTCTCCTGAACGGGAGGGCATGTGGGAGGTCTGACCTGGCACTCATTTAGCAGTGCTGGCTTAAGAAGTTGCAGAGGAATAATACTTTTAGCCCAATAAACACCCAGTCAACCACTCACTGCCCAGACCATGCGCTGTTGCAAGCAGGAGCCCGGAGGCTTCGTTCCAGTTCAACACTGGTCACTGAACCTCCCGGCCAAATCCTCTCACAAATACTTCTCCTTCCCTCCGAGCACATGGAAGACTTGAGATGGGACATTTATCGGTACATTAATCTGGAGGTGGGACATTTATCTGTTCCACATCCACCTCCTCTGGGGCTGTAACACACCAGTGATACACTAGAGACAATGATTTGGTATATCCCCACAAAGACCCAAAGAAAGGGTTTGAAATGAACCAAGACCAGACTAGGCATGAAAGGACTCCTTTGAATTCAGCCCAACCAACCAATGCCACCAAGGACAGAAGGTTTCCGGGAACCTCCCTACAATAGCAAAATGGCCTGGCTAGCCAGCTGCACACCTGAAAGAAGAGCAGGGTACTCCCTGCAATGATGGCCTTGTCTGTAGGATCACATTACACACACACACACACACACACACACACACACACGCACGCACACACACACAGGCACTGGTCCACGGCCCAGCTTGAATACCTGGCTGCTGAGAGACAGCATCATCAAACACTCTGGGATCATCTTGACACATATGCCAAGTCCAGGCTGTAGCCAACTTAACAATAGACATTGTGCTGGCCACAGGAGGGTAGAGGGTTGAGCTCTCTGACATGGGAGAAGCAGGCCTAGGCCTTGTAGGTTGTAGGTGTGGGTACATACATAGGGATGGAGAAACACAGGACTGGTGGAAGATGAGTGTGTTGGGTCAGTACCATGAAGCCTGGAGCTCAAAATACCACAGAAGGGCAGGATGGTGGCAGGAGTAATTGCAGCAGGATAGCCCAGGGGACGCGTGGAAGAACAGGGTGGAGGTGGGGAAGATTGTGAAGGGGAAGAAACACAGGGACATCACTCATCAGTGTATGGAGAAGGGCGGGGGGGGGGTGCGGGGGGTGTCACAGTCCTGGCCATCAGGGACATCCCTCATCAGTGTATGAAGTGCAACCCACAGGACACAGACACAGACATGTACCACCTCCTCTATAGTTCAGTGATAATCTAAAACTGCAGAGACTGGACACAAAAATGCAGATTTCTTTTAGCTACTGGTGGCTCATGCCTATAAATCTAGCTCAGGAGGCTGAGATGTGAGGATCAGAGTTGGAAGTCAGCTCAGGCTGAAAAAAGTGTGTGGGACTAATCTCTAATTAACCACCAACTGGTAGAGTGTCAGCCTTGAGTGAAAAACCTAAGCAAGAGCACAAAGCCCAAAATTCAACCCTAATACCAACACAAAACAAAACAACAACAGCTTCTCTGGAAATGATGAAGACCTGGCAATACCACACCTGCCCTCCTGCAGAACTGCAGGTCAGGTAGGGTCTGGGAGGTAAGAGCTATTTATACCACCCCACACACGCCCCCCCCCCCCATCATTCCCAGACTGTCTCTGCTTGATATCTGCAGACCTGTGCCTTGCCAGTGACACAGCCTGACAGTAACACACGGTCAAATCCACTGCTGACCCCTGACCCAGAGCTCCCCGGGTTGCACTTCCGCACACAGATCTGTTCCTTGGATCCCAGAGCAGCTTAGGCATCATCACTGCTGTATAAGCAGAACGTCAGTATCGGATTTAGTGTTTCATTGATGAGCAAAAGGAGTCATGAATGGCTTATCACATCCTCAAAGGGAGACTTACAGAACTCCTCTGAATGTCCTGTGCAGGCTTAGCATATGTCTCAGACAGATCACCGTTCAGAATGACTTCAGCGAGCGAGTTCACCAGCGGGGCATGGTGTATAATGAGGAAGACCTGGGGACAAAGGAGAGAGGGGCCCGTGTATTCCAGACTGCAATCTCCCCATGCCTTCCCACGCTGATCAGAAACACCCAGGCTGGGTTACAGGGGACCAGAGGACAGGTCATGACTGGGAGAAATGAGCTCTCCTCCAGACTCCTGCCTATGTGGCTGGCTGATTATCTGAGGAAGGAAGTGTATTCGAGCCAGACTGTCCCTTCTGGCTGGGGTAAGCCAACTCTGGTCAGAGTGGAGAAATGTGGGAAAGAAACGGCCAAAGCAGCACACCCCTTTCTTTCCATTAAACTCAATTATGGTTAAGACCGGAAGGCTTTGTCCCAATGCTTCCACTATACAGAAAGGCACTAGAGATCCTGTCTGTCACTGAAACTGTCCAGTCCCTGTCTCCAGTCCCTGCCTCAAACTGGGATTTCATGGCAGTGTTGCAGGTGTGGGAACTGAAGAAGAAAAGCCAGAGTAGCCGGAGGCCCACACGGATGTACCAGGCTCTGGGCTGTCCATGGGCCCGCTCCCCACTCTGTTGCCAAGGCTCAGAGGAGGGGTGTTAGGAATCAGGGGACTCCAGACTTCCCTGCAGAGCTGGCCGCTTCACACCAGCTCCCTTGACTTAAAATATAACAATAGATGGGCATAGCACATGTTGTGTCCACCCGCCCTGTAGACAGTGTACTCAGGGTTTGGGCCTTAAGTGTGCCGAGAACAGGGTGGGGGTTGGGCACTAATGAGGCACTGGGGCTTTGTGGAGGGGGCTGTCCTACTCTGCATCGCAGGACACTCAGCAGCACCCCTGACCACTCCCCACGGGAGGCCAAGAGCACCCCCTCCCTCAGGACAACTAAGATTATCTTCAGACCTTGACCAGTGCCTCTGGGGGGCAGAGAACACTAGGACAGTAGTCTCTGGGGGCAGAGAAGATACCAAAAACCTGAGCTTGGAAAGAAGAAAGCTGGTTTAATGCTTTAGCTTTAAAAAACAAACAAACAAACAAAAACCCTTTTATTAAAAAGTATGTTGCAGGGCTGGGAAGGTGGCTCAGTGGTAGAGTGCTTGACTTGCATGCATGAGGCCCTGGGTTCGATTCCTCAGCGCCACATAAGCGGATAAAAGCTGGAAGTGGCGCTGGGCTCAAGTGGTAGGGTGCTAGCCCTGAGCTGAAGAGCTGAGGGACAGTGCCCAGGTCCAGAGTTCAGGCCCCATGACCGACAAAAAAAAAAAAAAGTATGTTGTATATAAAGTATGTCATATGTTATATATATTATGTATGGTATTTTGTATATAATAAAGGTTGTCTCTGGAGTTTGGGATTGCATGCCCACGGGAGGCCTTCCCTTGGGTCCTATTGCTAGTGTTGGGATAAGAGGAATATATCCAAATAAATAAACAAATGTAAATCAGGTAGAATAAACAAAAAAGGGGGCAGTTTTTGAAACAGCCAGAGGCCCTCACTAGCACAGACTGTCTATCTGTCTGTATGTCTGTCTTATCAATCACCTGTCTGTGTATGCAAATAGTGAGTGTGATCCAGAGCACTAACTCCCCTCCAGAGCTGGGCAGACGCACTCAAACATTAGCAACCATCATGATGGTTCTTCTCACTTCCTCTGTGGCCAAATTACTGCCACACCTTACACTTCACATTCAATCCATAAATATCTATGATTGCCCTTGGTGCGAGGGTGCCCTGCGATCCTTGGTTGGGTGCATGAGCACTCAGTGCACACCCATAAAGGCCCTCTCGGACAGAGGCCAGCACCTCCTGCCTGTGGTCACAGGCAGCCCATTTCTCAGCCTTGTGACAGGGACAGAGGAGGGAGCTGCCCCTGTCCACTGCTGACGTGGAGGTGTGGCCATGCCAGACTGAAGAGCAGAGCTGGCTGTCCATGCCACACTGTCACTGTTTGGTTTCGGGAGACAGCATCACCTGGCATGCTAAATTAATGTCACGGTTGTGAATTTCATGGGGTTTGCCAGCTGTGCTTGTAAACTGATTAGTGAGGATACGGGCGCACGAGTGTGGAGGACATGGATTGAAACCTGACTGGTATTTGCCCACCCTTAGGTGACAGGATAAGCCAGGTGAGAGGGGAGGGAAGAGCTCAAGACTTTGCCATCTTTACAAGAGCCCTTCACATAGAATCTACACTTGAGAACTGAGAAACTAGGCTATCTGCGTGATACTGACGGAAGTAAGGAGGTGCCGGTATTACTGCTCCATCGCTAAGAGGACACGCACATGCTTCCAGCAAAGGAACGAGGGGCTAGCGGTCATCCTCCTGAAGAGATCCCGCCCATGCGTGCAATGCAGTGGGAGAGGTCTCCGGGATGTTTTCTACTGGACTGCTGTGGCTGAACAGCCTGCTCAGGTCCTGCCAGACTCCCAGAATCTCCAATGGGAGATGCAAAAATGGCTGCCAGGAGAGGCTGGAGCTGAGCTGAGCTCTGACACAGGACATTCAGAGAGTGGGCACTGGGCAGAGCTCTGGGCAAATAGCTTCCAGATCTGGTCAGGCCACATCCAGATCCCAATCGGCCCAGTGGCTGGGGGAGGTGGGGCCTGAGGGTCTCGTCTCAGGCCAGTGGGATGCAGCTTCTCTCCAAACAGAAAAGGACAGGGGGTCCAGCTGGAGGGCCAGACTCTCATCCAAGCTAATCAATACTGAAGCCACCACAGAAGTGAAATGGAGCTCTTAGCTGAACGTTGGACTACTTGACAGTCTAATGAGACGGACGACGTTTTGACTACTTGACAGTCTAATGAGACGGCCCGCAAGGCTGGACTGCTAGTAATAAAAATGTTTTTAAAGTTATGTAACGAGGTCTCCATGGAGTTTTTCCTTTCTTGTACATAGTACATCATTGCCAGAAAGGAGCAGAGTTGTTTAAGGAGGGCTGGAGGCACAAATCCGGGAGTGGACACAGCTAGGAGACACCTTGCAGAAGGTAATCTGGAAATGAACCACAACCAAACCCTTTCAGAGCAACTCCATCTCTTAAACCAAGATTGCTGTGTGGTACACCGTGGCCCAGCCCTTTGGGGCTCATTTCAAAATACAGTGAATAAAAGCCAGGAGGCCTCCACTTCCGGGTATGCAGGGCAAGCCTTGGCTGCTTTGAGACTCTCAGCCTCCGTTAAAAATCAACTAGCCAAGGGCTGGATTTATTTCTCATTTCTCTGAATTTCCATCCCGTCAGGAGGAAGGTACACCCGCCTCTATGGCTAGAAAACAGAACGCTCCCTTCTTCTGACGATTTTAAGATGGAAGACACAGAGACCATGCAAAACCTGTACACTCACACACCCTCAAATGGGTTTGGGGTGCTGGCGAGGGAGCAAACGTACCTGTGACAGAAGATAGAGGGACACCGGCAGGCTGATTTTGGGGCGTTCTCCTCCCTGGCAAAGAGAGGTCCAGGTTACAAAGGGAGCACAAGTTACTGGTAGGGACAAAGCTACTGGTAGGGACAAGAGGCGCTCTGGCCTGGATTTCCCCTGCCGCCACCTACTCATTCCTGCTGCTAGTCCCGACACATCCTTACGACAGCGACCCAAGAGGGGCTTCTTCTGAGTCACCAGAAAGGCTACTGTCCCCAGTTGGGCCCTGAGGGTACACAGCAGAGGTCCCTAAGACTGGAAGCAAGCTCCAAAATATAAGGAGGGAGCAGTTCAGGGCCTTTGGCTTTAAAACAGCTCCCCTCAAGCCTCAACCTGTTCCATCCACTGTTAACAATGGGGGAAGGGGGTGTGGATCTCTTGGACCCCATTTTGCAAGTGAGGAAAGAGCCTAGTAGAAGCTACTACCTTGCAGGGGAAAAGACCAGGCTTGAAATGCAGCTCCCAGGCTTCGTGGGGCTGCCAGAGCTGTTCTGGAGAGCTCTACTAAGCCTGTGTCTTTCTTTGCTGTATTTACTGATCTATGGCAAGAATTCCCCATCCCACCTCCCAATAGGAAAGGCCAGCCCTTGACACGCATGTGGAAGCCCCTGCAGGTGACCCGTGGCTGTCCTGCCTCCTGGTGAGGCCTCTGCTCCGCCCCCTGGCGTGGTCAGAGGCCTCCCTCCCCAAGGGAGCACTCCACGCGGGAAGTGCTCAGGGGCCTGTGGGAGCGGGTAAAAGGGGTAGAAGACCCACTCGACCACAGCCCCCAAGTGGGAGGAAACATGTGACCCTCCCCATGCCCACAGAGGACTGGTTAGCCAAGGCTTCCATTCCCTGAAGGCTCAGTCTCCATCCCACCTTCTCAGATCCGCCCCCTCAGGTAACTATCAGCAAGCGGGTGCACTCAGGGTGCCTGGACTCAGGGCTCCCTACTCAGTGTGGGAATCCTAGCCTTCTCTTTATGGCTCTTTTGTGTGGAAACGAAAAGGAAGGCGAGCCTTAGGTGCAAGGAGGGCAGCGCACCTTGTCGGGGTTCTCCAGGGAGTACACGTAGAGCGGCAGGAAGAGCCGGTTGAGCAGGTGGTCGGTGAGCACGTCGTTGAGGAACTCGCAGTTGATGATCAGGATGTCATTGAGATAGTGCAGGTGGTCCAGATGCTCAGCTACCAGATCGCTCAGTTTCCCCCGATTGCGGTGCCTGCCGTGCGAATGACCTCCTCAGCCCTGGCGGCCAGGCCTGGGGCGGGGCCTGAAGCCAGTGGCCTGAGACGTGGTTTTTTTTTTTTTGTTTGGGTCCGGGCGTGGGGCCTGAACTCTGGGCCTGGGCGCTGTCCCTCAGCTCTTCAGCTCAAGGCTAGCGCTCTACCACTTGAGCCACAGCGCCACTTCTGGCTTTTTTCTTTTTGCTTATGTGGTGCTGAGGAATCGAACCCAGGGCCTCATGCATGCAAGGCAAGAGCTCTACCACTGAGCCACCTTCCCAGCCCTGGCCTGAGACTTGGATGGATGCGTTCTACCAGATCAGGGTCTCCTACACTAGCTCAGACAGCTAGATCCTGCCCTACTGGTACACAAAAGGAAAATGGACAGGTCCACTGCAACCTCATGTAGGGACTCACACTATAGATCTAGCCTCAAGTAAATGGGGGAAACAAATTAAAAAAAAAAAAAACAAAAAACTAAGCTCTAGTAGTAAGCTACTGCCCAAGGGCAATCACTAGGCAATATGGCCAAGGCTCAGCTGCCAAATAAGCACTAGTGGTGGAGCCGTACATCCTCGCCAGTTAAAAAGCTCCAGGTTCTAAAGAGAGACAGGAGCCTTATGCAGCAACCATGTTTGTCACGTGGCCCAAATGTGGTACCCAGAGCAAGGGCACAGGGCCCTCCCCCAGGCCCAGGCTGGAGGTCGCCATGCCCTTGCCATTACCAACAAGCCTTGAACCAGTGTGTGACCAATCTCACTCCAAGCAGCGGGGGACACACTCTGTCACCCTCAGTGGTAGAGCGGGGGCGCAAAGAGCCAGGTCAGCCAAGACACTGCGCATATACATCGTTGTTGCTATTCAAGCCAGAGGCAGGCACTTCAGAAGACAAGGAAATAAAAGGGAAAAGAAGAAAAAGGCACCTGCTGCCTCGCCTACCAGCTCCCACAAGAGCACTTGAGGATTTCGGCTCGTGCAGGCCGTGGTCACCCCTTCCTCTCCCATCAGTCACCTGGTATGCCGTGCTGCTGTCTGTCTAGTCACAGCAGAGCACGGTGCAAGGCCCGAGTGAAGGAGCATCCCTGAGACACTCAGAATTCATGTGTAACGCTCACACCCGCCTCAGAATTCACGCGCAGAGGTCACACACACCCCTAAAGAACGCACTGGGGAACTCTGGCTTTAGAAGTCTAGTTAATGCAGCTCACTTAAAAAAAAAAAAATTGTCAAAATAACATGTACACAGGCTTCAAAGCCGAGTCCTATTGGTCAGTTGACCCGCGTCATTTCCACAGCCCGCCCCGCCCACACTGCCGGAAGACCCGTCCCCCCTCAGCTCAGGTGAGGACCACTGCCATCAGCCTGTGCCCGGGCCTGTTCATGTGCACACAGGCTCTCGTTTCCCCACATGCGCTCTCCCCAAATGCTCTAGCAAACATTCCAGCTGGCTCACCCCCTCCCTGCCCCAACCCCAGCCCTGGGCAAAGCTCTCATTCAGGGTCCTGGGGCCACTTCTCCCTTGAGGCAGACTTCGCCTTATCTGGCAACGTCTCCTTTTTTTGGCCTTCGTGCTGTGCCACAGGTGTGTAGAGAGCAGAGGCCAGGACGCTGGGGAGGTCCTCCAGGCACAGGAGGGCGGTGGATGAAGGATCTAGTGCAAAGACCAACTGCACCCAAGATCAAGAAATCCCGCTGCAGGACGTGTCAGGCTTCCCAGATCCCACCAGGTAGAATAGTCCACCTACCCTAAAACCACCCCTGGGCCTTGCACAACGCTCTTCAGACCGTTAAACTGCCCTTTGCAGTGCTGGAATCGGCCCCCAGGCAGGGCCTCGTCTAAGCTTCACAGTCGCTCTGCCAGAGAGCTACAAGTCCAGCCCCAGAGCTTCAGTATATTCCCAACTGTCCAACTTCCCTCACCATGAACTCCAGAACATTCTGGCTTCTCTGGGAAACGCAATGGCTCAGGGACAGGCTCCCATCCCCCACCCTATCCCTGTCCAGGAACCATGACTCTGCCCTGCCTCTCCTCTGCCTAGCCCGGGCACCTCACCTAAGGGAAAGCCCACCCGCCCTGGCTCTGTGCCTGCCTCTCGCTTAGCGCGGCGCGCCTGAAGCGCACCCAGGTCTCAGCTCTTCCTTCCGTGTCCTCCCTGAATGCTGCAACACCGCCGACAGATACTCTGTGCATCCATCCTCATCTCTGAGTAGCTGCCTGGCAACCCATCTACAGCTCGTGGAGGAAGGCCTTCTACCACTGTCAACCCTGCACAGGGCCCTTGCCTCCACGGCCAGGCGAGTGCTCTTCTCCCCTCTGCCTCCCTCCGTGGACCCCACGCTCTCCCCTGGCCTCCCAGCAGGGCCACTTACTCCTCATCGGTCTGCACACAGTTGTCAAGTTCGATCACGTGGCTCCCGATGAACCAGACCAGGTTGGAGAAGTAAGGAACGGCAGTTTTATCTCTGATGTAGTGTAGCATGGCCTGGTTATCCACTGGGAACATTCACAGAAAGAAAACGAGGAGGGGAAAAAAATGTCAGTTTAGTTATTTACTAAAAATAACATGGGGAAATTGAAAAAAAAAAAAACCAAACCAAAAAAAAAAAAAACCAAAAAACAAAAGAACCACAATGAAAAAGCCCTCTGCTACAATCTGAAATTGTCTGTCTTTCCTGGAAACCCTTGAAAATGTTTATCTTATTCATAAAACTAGAGTCATTGAGGCAGCTCTTACGCTATTCTTCAAATGAAGAAAATAAATGTGTGGGCTAAACATGGTTCGTGTGCTGGAGGTGGCGGCGCCTGTCATGCAAGTTGTCTGGAGTAAGGGTGAGCGAACAAAGCGGAAACCCGCGGTTAATAACTTACATGACACTGGGTAAGGACGGGAGTCGTCATTGGAGGAAAGGCAAAAAACAGACAACAGTTAACAGGGTTAGGAACTGGGAAGGTGAGACGGCCGCCCAGAGGGACAGACAGCCAGGGCAGGAGGCATCTAAACCAAAAGAGACAGGTTAGAAGAGAGCAAGAGAAAACAGAGGGAGGCAGAGGGCAGAAGGCAGTGAACCAACCATGCTGGGACCAGAGCCACAAACTCAAGAGGCCAGCCAGGTTGGCTGGTGGCCCAGTGAGTGAAGCCTTGCGCCCTGGGTATAAACAGGAAGTGGGGCCCCCGACCCTAGGAGGGGCATCTGCCTCACAGCACCAGCTGACCCCTGCTGCCCTGCCCACTGCGTGCCGATGGCTGAAAGCAGTTTCAAGCCAAAATCCAGACCGTCATTTGACATCTCCCAACTTTGATTATTATTGCTAAAAGTAAACAGAGTAAGCTGATGTGAAAGTGAAAGGAAAGCCGAGAACAGAAAGGAGAGACTACATTTGGAGAAGCCTAAGAGGAATCCTGGCATCTCCCAAGTTTTAAACGTTAGCCATTCTTTTTCTTTTTCTTTTTTCCCCAAAACCATCCAAACCAATTAAAATGGGTCTGAGGGCTGGATTCAGTTTGCCACCCCTGGAAGAGCTTAACTGGAGGAGCTAAGCCTCCCTTCGCCCAGTGGGGATCAACTCCATAAGTGAGATTCTGACTCATCCCAGAAACAATGGGGACCCAGCTCCACCCTGGCAAGGGCAAGGAAAAGGGCTTGGTGGGCCAGTTCCAGTCTCAGAAGCCTCAGGGCCCAGGAGCCTGGGAGGGCTTTCTGCTGCAGGCAATGTCTAGGGCCCTAATGTTTCCAAAGGAGGGATTTGTCAGTGCAGGCCCTCACAGCTGGTCAGGAAATGCAATACTGCCCCCTGCTGGTCAAAGCATAAAATACCTTTATCAATGAAAGAAAATATCCCCAGACTTTCCAATCTACCACTTAAAAGACAACTCTGCTTCATCTAGCTTTAACACGGCCACTCCCAATCCCATGCGCCCCTCAGGACATTTGATTTCTGAGTAGTCGCATGGAGCAAGACCACAGCATGCAGGGAAGGGGGGGAAGGGCAGGCTCCAGGAGAGAGCAGCAGCTCCCTGGCTGGTGGCTGCAGGGATTTAGGGAGACATGCAGCCATGGCTGAGACACAGGAGCTCCCTGGTCACTGGCAGAGAACTGTACGCATGCACAAATGCATGCACGCAAACACACACACACAGGCCACGGGAGTGAGGACTTGCAGCCAATCAGAAAGCAGCCAGGCAGGAAGCTTACCTTTATAGACATTCAAAGTTATGGTTCTTACAGCAATTCGAACCATGCTTTCTGGGTGATTGAAAAATTTGATGGCCTCTGTGTACAGGGCGAAGTCATTGGTGTGCTAAAACGAGAGAAGCAGCAGAAAGTTACACAGCCACGCCAGCCAGCCCCACCCCGGCGGGCTGAGACCTGTTAAGAGACCACAATGAAAGGGAAGAAGGGGCCTCAGTGAGCTTCCCAGGGCCCCACGTACACGGTGTCCCTAAATCTGCCTCCTCCTCCGTGAAACAGGTGCTGGTATTAAAGGAGACCAGTCCTGAGCCACCTCCTCTGAAAACACACAGCGTTACTCCCAAGTCCACTATTTACTGTACTGGGGTCTATGGGAAATACAAAAAGTGCAAACACTGTCCTGCGGCTCAGTCAGTGAGGGGGAGCCCATCTCAGGCACGGAGCACAGCCTGCCTAAGGAAAGTGTCTCATGTGGGACCAGCATCCTCTTAGTGCAAGCTCTGGGGCCCTCTAGTGGCCAGGGCTCCACATGGCTCCAGGCTCCAGGCTCCGTGCAGAGCAGGAGCATCAGGGTCCTCCAAGGACTTCCAGCCAGCGGGGTGAGGTAGGAACTAAGCAGGACAAGGCCATTTTGAGAACTACATGTCAGGTGTGCTCCCACCAAGTGTCAACCGCTATCCTGGCTCCTGTTAAAGAGGAAAGGAAGCCCAGCTCAAATACTGAGACTCCCAGGAGCCGTTCCCCCGCCCCAACCTCAGAAATAGGTTGTTCTCACCAGGACAGTCTCTGAGCAAGCACTCACATCGGCTTCCTGGGCTCTGGGCATGCTTACTGAACACATACTAGGTGCTAGCTACTGGGCCCACGATGTTAGTTTTCAAACCGCTGGTGAGAGCTGATAAAGACACCAGCTCTTCCCTGCCAGCGAACACAAAGCCGAGGCTCCAGTGCTGGGGACAGCTGGGGACAGCTGGCTGGATTTTACCCCAGCTCGGAAGGTACACTTGAGACAACAGACTGACTTCAAGTGTAGGCCAGACCACCATGGGAGACATCTGCCACACAAAGCCCTGGGCACCGTGCGGCGGCCTCCAGACGCCCCAGATGCTCACCCCAGGCCACACGGCCATGCCGTCCGTCCCGCACTGCGTCAGTGCTGGCCTGCCTGCCTGAAGACACTGGTGAAAGTGACTGTGGGTGACTTAGGAGGCTGGATCCCAGGGGACACTGTGATTTGCCTTTGTCCCTTGAATCACTTATCTGGTGTGTGGGGGGGGGGGGGGTGGGGAGCAGAGCACTTTAACATCCTGGGAGACTGAGTCGCAATAGCCTGCCAAACCAACCCCAAATTCCAGACCCAGTGAGAACAATTCTGACCGGTAGGAGGGGAAATCTGGCAAGAGACTTCTGAGGAAGTTTTTTCCAAGTTAAAAACAGACACAAGAAGAAAGTGATCTCATCAGAAATTCCAGCAACTGCCTGTGAATGTGTGATGTCTGGTGCTGCCACAGCCATGCTGTGACCATGTGGGCTGAAGACATGAGGTCAGATGCAACTGCACAGTCACACAGCGGGACAGAAAACCTAGCTCCTTGATGATATGACTGAGCCCCAGGATGACCTAGCCTCGGCCAGCTAGCACTTTTTAGTATATAAAATAAATCCGTCTACTGGAGAACAACAGTCCTTGAGGACTAACAGGCATATTAGCTTACAGAAAATAGCATGCCTGGGCTGGAGGTGTGGCTCAAGTGGCTCTGAGTTCAAGGTCCAGTACTGCTGGAAAAGTACAAATAGGAAGGAGGGAGGGAGGGAGAAAGAGGGAAGTAGCGGGGAGGGGCACACAGCACAGCTTGTCTGCAATTTAGGCTGGGGTAGGGTCCCTGCTCTCCCATGGCACATGGCTCCCCCAACTCACCTGGGGACTTCTCCCTTTAAAGTATCAAGCGCCGGCACAGACTGAAGCTTACATGCCGTGGAATGAGGATTTACTGAATGCAAACATTTTAAGCACTCAAAGTGAAACAGCACGCACATTTTTTTGTGAACAGATGCAGGACAGAATCCGACAGACAGGGGACGCTGTTGTGCAGGGCTTAGCATTACCCCAGTGGACCCCCCTGGTACCCCCTTACCTCGTTGTAAAAGAAGTGGACAGTGTGGTTGTTGAGCTTCAGTGACAGTGTTTTCAGGAACGATATATAATATGCCATAATCTCCTCGTCGGAAAAGTCAAATTTATGGACAATTATTGAATTTACATAGTTATTAGACAGCAAATAATCTAGGAAAGAAGAGCAAAACCGACAGGTCAATTCACGCTGCAGGAGAGGGGCAAAGGGGGCCAGTAACAAGCAAGGGGCCGTGGGAGCGCACTAAACCTGCTAACCGAGCCAGCTCAGAAATCACCTGCTGCGCATGCGCGCACGGCACTACACCGCTCAAAGGCAAGTGTGGTGAATGTCTTTCCACTGTTGGCAAAGTTTAACAAGGTTGGGGGGGGGGAGCTGGGCAGGACAGAGGCTTTCTCACAAACCACTCTATAAAAAAGCTGCCCCATTTGGTGCATCCGAGCGGGTGCTAGCTGTCCTTCATCGGCCGCCTGGCTACCTGACTTCCATCATTCGAGCGGTCAGCGCACACTTCACTTCTCCTGGAGTGGAGTGCGGCACGTGCCATCAGGTGAGTCCGATGGCTAGAGCGCTTCTTTCCTCATGCCATCGTGCCGGTGAGGGCACAGGAGATAGGAGGAGGGAGTGCTGGGAAGCCTTGTGGAGCCCTGGGGTGAACTGTGGTGGCTTCCGGGCGGCCAGTGGCACAGGCGTCATGCCGGTACTTCTGGTGCAGTCCTGAGTGTGTCAGGTGCACTGGGGACAGGGAACGGCCACGAGCTTCACCTGCTGCCCACAGGGACTCTTCCAGAGCCTCCAAGCGATGGCCCTGGGGGTGACGGGTGACCACCGTGGCAGGGGAGGGGCCTCTGTGGGTCAGCTGGGGTCTTTCCACTGCCCCTCACCATGTGGGTCCACTGGCAATGCAATCTCAGTCTCTCAGGCCTCTGGCATTTAGGGCACCCAGCCAGCATCTGTGTGATGGGTGCTTGCCATTGTGAGAACCTGGAAAGTCCCTACATGGCCACCGTTGGGTAGATGTACTAGCACTGCAAGACGCCGTCAGCAAACCACATCTGGAGGCTCCATGGAGGACGGCGAGATCTGAGAGGACTGGAAGCGAGGCAAATGGCAACATGGCACCCGGGAATGCTGTCCAAGCGGGATGCTACAGGAACCTGACTTTCTGCACTTTATTGTTTTAAAATAAAAGCAGTTTTCTTCTATGATCAGAAAGTAAATATACAAACAAGCCAGATGCCAAAGGCTTGTGCCTGGAATCCTAGATACGTGGAGAGCTGTGGTCCGGAGGACTGTGGTTTGAAGCCAGCCCGGGAATACAGCAAGGCAGATCCCTTCTCAACCTATTGCTTGCTGTTGTTGTTGTATCTTTATTTGGTTTTGAGATAAGTAACTAAACATTGTCAGAAGGACAAAGAAAGTCACTTCCTGTTAATAAAAGGAAACGCCACAGAGTAGAGATATCAGCCCTTCACATACACACACACCAAATGCTGGCCAACCTAAGTTCACTTAAACAAATACTTCTGGACTTATAAGCACTCAAAGACCCCAGGATGATAACAGTGGGAGACGTTAGTACCCCACTCTGACCAACAGAAAATTCAAGAATTAAATGACACCATAGAGCAAACGGACTTAGCAGACACCCACAGAGTATTATTTAATCCAGCAGCTGCAAAGCACTTTGGAATCTTCTCCAAAATAGAACCTATTTTAGGACTCAAAGCAAATCTTAGCTAAAATAAGAAAATTGAGCCAGGCATAGGTGGCTTGTGCCAGTAATCCTAGCTACTCAAGGAGGTTGAGATCTGGGGATCAAGGTTCAAAGCCAGCCCAGGCAGCAAAGTCTGTGAGACTCTTATCTCCAAATATACACAAAAAGCTACAATTGCTGCTGTACTCAAAGTAGCAGAACATTAGCCTTGAACACAAAGCTCAGGGACAGCACCCAGGACCTGAGTTCAAGTACCAAGACTAGCATTTTCTTAAAAAATTGAAAAACTCCCTATATTCTATCAGACCATAGGGAGAAATATTGTAAAGTATCAATTTACATATTGTAAAGTACCGATGGGCCATTAAAGAAATAAAGGGGGAAATTAAAATGTTCCTAGAAGCTAAAAAAAAAAAATGAAAGTACAACCTGGCAAGGTGGAGGCCTTGAGTTCTAATTCCAGCACTAGGAAGGAAGGAGGGAAAGAAGGAAGGGAGAGAGGGAGGGAGGGAGGGAGGGAGGGAGGGAGGGAGGAAGGGAGGGAGGGAGGGAGGGTAGGCTACCAGACATAAGACTTGAGTCTCCAGGCTATGGCTCTCTCCCGCAGCCCCTGTCTGCCCCAGCTGCTCCTCTGTCAACTGTCTGAGTCAGCACTGCCCTGGTCTGAGTCCTGGGCCCGTGCCACAAGCTGGGTCTTCCCCTCTCAAGTCAGAAACCGCACTAGTTTCAGATCCAGTGAAACTGAAGCTGGTAACAAGGGAAACCACGTCGGGAACCATGAATCAGCGCACATTTGTCAACCCGCGGTTATGGGAAGCATGAGGAAATCTGCAGGACAGCAGCTCCACCTAGCGGCCACTGCTGTGAGCCACAGGCCGTGGCTCTCCTGCAGGAGAAGGGCCAGGGTTTATCTTCCACCCACCAGGCACTTTCTTCCACCCTGTCCCCAGGACAGGGCCTGCCTCTGACAGGGACACTCATCCTCTTCCTAGAAGGCTGCACCTGGGCTTGGTGTGGCCATCTCGGGCCATTTGGGGAACACCAGGAGCTAAGCCAGGATGCTCGCCCTCAGCACTGATGGGGCTGGTGAGCACTGTCCTGGGCAGACGACATGGGCACTGTAGGAGGCTGAGCAGCACCCCTCTCCACCCGTGACAAGCTCCCCCCTCACCCCAGTGGACCACTGAGCTGCTCTCCTGGGCTGACACCCTCACATGCTCTGGCCTCATTCAAGCTCACAACACAAACTCCTCCTGGCTCTAGGTGCGCTCACAACCAGCTGGGCTTAGAGAGGGCAGGTACTGGCCTCAGAGGCTCACACTCCTTTGGCTGGGCGGCAGAACTAAAGCTAGAGGGCTGGGGGAAAGCTTTAGCTCTAAAAACCCCTCTGCTACCTGTGCCCTGGGTAGATTCATCAGAGGTGGACTTTTTCTTTCTGTGGCAACACTGGGATTTGAACTCAGGTCCTAGGTGCTGTCCCTTAGCATTTTCTGTTCAAGGCTGGTGCTCTACATTTGAGCCATAGCTCCACAGCTCCCATTCATGAGATAAGGGTCTCAGGGACTTTCCTACCCAGGCTGGCTTCAAAGAGCAATCCTCAGATAGGTTGCAAGAGTGAGCCACTAGTGCCTGGCTGTTTCTTTCATATGCACCCTGAAGAAGGAAGGCAGACACTCGAAAATTGCTCAACAGAGGGGACACTGCCAGCCTCTAAGTGTCCCAACACACAGAGATAAAAGTTACAGTTACAGTCTGAACTATGTCTCCAACAAACATGTATGCCCAGTCAGTGCTCACCCCCAGGGGGACTGCATTTGGAGATGGGGGTTTGGGGTGGTAACTAAGGCCCAATGGGATTGCAAAGGCAGGTGCTAATCTGATGAAAGTGATGTCCCCACAAGAGGAAGAGAAGCGGCAGATTGGACTGACTGCTGCCGTCACACACAGAGGAAGGAAGGGCGGCAGGTGGGAAGGTGGCTGCTGTGGTCCCAGTGGCCCCAGCAATCATGGGCTAGCACTGTAATCCCCCTTTATGTGGCAGCACTGGGAGGTGCGCCCAGGGGCGGTGTCTGGTGATGCGTGCAGCTGTATAAGGGGATGATCCAGTGTTCTCTCTTTCCATGAGCCTCTGGCCCTGGAGTTGAAGTAATGCACGGCCTCTCCAAATGTGGCTCCCCAACCTTGAACTTCTCAGACTTCAACAACATGAGCCAACATAAACCTCTTTCCTTTAAAAATTATCCAGCCTCGGCTACTTTGCTATAGCGACCGAAAACAGACCAGAGTAGTAGCTGTCTACAAGCCAGTTAAGAGTTCTCACCAGAAACCAGCTGTGAAATGGAAAACAAACTGCTCTTGTTCAGCCACTCTGCTATCTCATTAGGGCAGCCAAACCAAGCCCCGTGTGCAGTAAACACAGCACAAGGCCGCACCATACTATGCCCTGCTGACACCCCAGACAGCGGAGGCCAACATGGCCAACGTCAAGCATCATGCTTACACAGTGAGGTCTCGTGACTGATGTTCTCGAACAGGATGTTCAAGGTCTGCAGCAGCTGCACACACACATAGCGGCCTGACTTCTGCCTCAGGATGTTGAGGAAGAAAACGAACATGTTCTTCTCCAGGAAGAAGCTGGGGAGAGAGCAGGAAGGGGTCTGTGGGTGGCTGACCCAGGAGCACGGGCGGACATGTCACATGGTGTACTTGCATGCCCGGCAGCCAACACCCAGTTCCCACGATGCCATCCTCTAGGAGGCCACTAGGCATCTGAGCACGCTTCCCACCAGGGGACACTTCTTCCTGGTGCCCAGCCAGCAGGCGGTGAGTGGGCTCTTCCCATCTTTAGGACTAAGGGGCCACACAGTGGGCAGCCCATGCTCACACACTGCCATCAGACAGGTTCCCGCCACCCCCTCACTGAGCTCTAGTCGTCCTATGGGAGGCTGGTTGCGGTGTCTGGCCTTTGCGGTCCCCCAGGCAGGTGGCACGCTGTCCTCATTTGCTATCATCCCTGAATGGCCTGCTCTGGGTCAGGCACTACACAGAGGACTTTTGCTCTGTCAGTTAAAGATATGGAGACCAAGGCTCAGGCAGACAAAGAGCCTCTGGGTTTGGACACTGGTGAAGCTGCTCCTTCATCACTTACCAGTCAGATGACCTTGAGCAAACCTGGGGGGCCTCTACCCGAGGCGAAGTATAGACTATCCCCTCGAAGCTCAGCATGGAGCCAGGCCCTCAGTAAGCATGCTTGTGTGTGTGTGAGAACTGTTGGCTCTGTGGGTGGTCTCGGCCAGGGGCAGGGCCTTCCTGTCCATCTACAAGCTCACCACACAAGGTGCTTCTTCTGCCTTTGGGAGATCCTTGGACACTACCTGGAAAATTACCCCACACTCCTTCCTTCCTGTTACTCCTCACTGTTGGCTGGCCTCTGCAGAGGTTCAAGGACGGCCATGGAGCAAGATACTCAGGCAGGACCAAATGAGCGTCAAGTCCCCGTGGTGAGGGGTGACTCACGGTGCGCACTTGGCAAAGCACTGAAAGGAAGAAGTGGGACCGGAGAGCCGCGGCACCGAAGCTCTTACTCGAATACTGAGCTGTCATTCTGGTCTCCCCAGATCAGGATCTCGGTGATGGATCGGATGGTCTCCACCAGCAGGTTCCGGTTCTGCTCTGTGACGGTGGTGTTTTTGGTCAACACGTGGTACAGGTACCTGGGAGCGAGGGAAGGAGCAAGGTTAGGCTGGTGTGAAAGCGGGCCCACGGCCAGCAGCCGCACTTGGGAGACAGCACGTTTCAGACACATCTCACCACTCAATGAAAATAATGGCTGACTCCGAAAGGGACAGGAACTTCACCACAGCTTTGACAACAGCTCCCCAGCCACCTTCCCTCACAGGAGCCAGTGGGAGATCACTCTCACAAGCACGCACACCTCGTGATCTGATGCCGACACAGACACGTGGCTCAGCGCTTAGTGCCTGACCCAGGACCTGCAGCCAGGTTGATGCGGCGATCCACACACTGGGTCACAGCTTAGGGAGGGTGTGTCCCAAAGCCAGTGGTTAGGGATCCTGTGTGACGAAATTGCCCTTGGAATGCCCATTAACCCCCTGCAGGGCAGTGTGCCACTGGAACTAGGGCTCAACTGAAGCTGCTGGTCCACAGGCCAGGGGCAGAGATCTTATGTGTTGAGCACAGACTATTAAGTTCACAAAGTCAAAGACCACATACTAGGTCCTCTGTCCACACCAACAGGCCAAGAAGCCAGCTGAGGAGGCAGACAGGCACGTGAAGTCCAGACTTCTAGCCTCTCTGCTGGCAGCAGTGAGGCCAGAAGAACCAGAACCACTACAGCTAGGCCTGGGCAATGTGGAGCCCAGGGGCTGCCACGTGCATGGGTTTTAGGATAGTTCAGGGGTGGGGGAGGAAGGCGGGGGGCAGATCCAGGCCATGTCATCTGCCAAACGGCCTCAGACTGGAGAAGGAAAAGCAGACTCAAGGGGAAGTAACTGGGTTAGTCACCTGGCCTCCTCCAGTTGTGGGAGGGGCAGACGAGAGGAGGGAAAGAAAGATTAGTTAGGACTAGTCCATCTAGAGTCTTCCAAGAACGGCAGGATCTAAGAGGTGGGACCTTGCGAATGGAGCAATAAGGAACAAGGACAAGGCTGCTTCTGAGGAGCCTGGGATTTGTGGATTATTAAAGTGTTACTATCTGTTACATCTTAAAGATTCAGTATAATCAAGCACTGAATTAATTTTCTTAGAAACTACATGCACTTTTTAATACCCAGTAAGAAGTACTGCCCTCCAAAAACAGTAATTCTCCCCACTGTTGAGAAGAGGAAGACATCCATCCATAAGCACTACAGCTCACGCAGGAGGCCGCCTGGGTGCAGAATGGGGAGCTTAAGATCTTTAAGGTCTGACTTCGATTGCCTGGGCTTTCTGCCCAGTGATTTCTATCCAGAATGTACTTCGTTACTTACTTATTTCTGAAGTACTAGGGTTTGAACTTAGAGCCTCACCCTTGCTAGGCAGGCACTTTTCTACATGAACCACACACACTCCCAGCCCTTTCCGGCTTTTAAAATTTCAGGTAGGGTCTCTTTTGCCCTGGATCTTTCTCACATGATCTTTCTACCTGTAGCCTCTTGCAAAGCTGGGATGATAGGAGTAAAACCACCATGCCTGACTTATTGGTTGAGAGGGCATCTTGCTACTTTTTTTTCCCCAGGCTGGCCTCAAACTGCAATCTCCTGATCTCTATCTCCCAAATAGCTAAGGTTATAGGCAGGAGCCATTCACATGGTTTATATTCTTTGTGTAATATGGCCAAGCAGCAAACTCTTATTCCTATGGCAAAGCCCGCCTCAGGCTTCACCTCTTGGTGAAGCCTTCCCTGTAGAGGGCTTCCTCATCCCTGCCCTCCTTAACCCCTCACCGGCACCTCCACACTCGTGTGCCTTCACTACTGCACAGACCTCCCAGAGTCACGGAGACCTGCCTTTCTCATGAGACTCATGTCTCAAAGCAAGAATATCTTCCTGATCCTGGTGACACTAATATACTCCTCAATATCTGGGACAGAGCAGGTGCTCGGGAAATGCTGTGGGGGCAGGCACAGCTGCCTGGGACCTAAGTAGATCGCAATATACAAGACTGAACACAACCGAGGTCCAGATGCCAGACATGGAGAGTGACAGTACAGACCCGCTGAGACGCTCAGCCGGGCAGCCAGCAGCCTCCACCCCTGGCTCTGCCCTTTCCTCACTGTGGCCCTGCACAGGCAGGGGTCCCCACTGGGGCCTGGTCGCCACTGAGCTGCGGCCAGCCAGTGATGAGCATAGCTGCACTGCAGGGCTGCCTGCCATTACTATTCTGCCTCACTTGCTATAGTGACAGTCCAGGGCTCAGGGAGGCTGGTAGGGCAGTTGCAAGCTGGAGAAGGAGGCCTCACACTGTGCAGGGAGGTGCAGAGAGAACCTGGGCTGGGAAGTGCAAAGACTGTGGAGTGGGTGGGTTAATTGCAGACTCTGGTGCAAGCGTGCCCGGGCCCTGCCCATCTCTGTCACCACCTGGGCAATTCTTGAATCAGCTACTTCTACCTCTATGCACCTCAGCTCTCTCGCCTAAAAATGGGGTCAGCAGTAGCACAGAGCTGTCATGGTGTCAGGTAAAGAGCCAGATATGCAGGTAGATGCCACTCTGTGTGACCTGGTACCACTCATCCTATGGCAATTGCTTTCATTAATAATTCTCAGAGGGAAAAGAAAACCTGGAAACTACAGAACCCTTTATAAGAAGCAAAGGGCGGAACAGCAGTCCAGCAGGAAGATTCTGGGAGCTTGCGTGAGCATGGCACTGGATGATGACGTCATAAAAACTTGGGGTGTGCGCACTGTTACCACAATAGCACCTGAGACTGAGGGATTCTGCGGCTGATTGCTGTGTGTACCAGACGATACAGGTCACAATTTCTATTTTTCTGCTTGGAGCGCTGGCTGGCCAGCCCTGTTTACCGAGGGCCTTCATTTCTCTCATGCACTCCAGTGGTACCCTGCCGGCCATCAGGTGATGATATAAGTCCTTCTGTTGCTCTAGCTGCACCGATCTGTCGGTGCCTCATGTGAATAGCATACCAGCTGTTCACCACACTGGCTGCAGCTGCATAAGAAGTGCTGCCACTTGCCACGGGTCATGGATGCCCCCCATCTTCTTTCCTTCTACCTTTTCAATATTATCTTTTCCTTTCTCCATGCTTTGCATTCCTGTGGATATACACACTGACACTGAACTCGGGGCCTCATGCTCTTGTTCAGCTTTGTTATTCAAGGCTGGTGCTCTACCACTTTAGCCTCCCTTCCACTTTCAGCTTTTTTGCTAGTTAACTGGAGGTAAGAGTCTCTGGGATTTGTCTGCTTGGCTGGTTTGGAACCTCAATCCTCGGATCTCAGTCTCTTGAGTAGCTACGATCGTGGGCATGAGCCACCGGTACCTGGGTCTCTCTCTGTTTTAAAATCACCTTGTCAGTGCCCACAGAAATACCTGTACGATTGCCTTTGACACTGGTCTCGATCTCCAACTAAATTTGAACAGCTGCCTCCACAGTGCTGCGGCATGAAGCGTCTACAGCACCCCTGCCCCTTATGCAGCCCTAGGTAAATGGAGGCTCCTTACTGCAGATATAAATGGTATCAGCGGGCACTACCTCCCACGAGTCTGCTGCTGGAATGCAACAGGGTGCTGGATGTCAAACCTAAAGCCCTATGGTGTCATACTGTGCCTCGCTTGTCCTGGTCTCCACAATGTTCACACAGGACTTTAGGAAGAGACGCTGGACACAAGCTTGCACGAACTGAGAAAGAGCCGGATGGATTCAGATTCAATATTTTAACACTGTATCTCATTCCAGAGCTTTGAGAGATCAAGTAACTGAATCAGCTCGGAGATCTAAACAGGTTAATGACTTTCTGCATCGAAATGCACTACTCGTTTCAGGGGCAGTGAAAACTTTTGACAGCAAAGAGAGAAACGGTGGCTGCCAGCTGTGCGGCTGAGACCGTTCTTGGCTGAGGGTGCTTACACAGCTGGGCTTGTGTTCTGCTTCCCTGCAGAGAGGCTGATCTAAGCCTCCATGCCCACATACTAACTTGGGGTCATGCTGTAGGTGCACAAGTGCCTCAAGAATCTTTCCCAGTCAAAGACGTGACAGACCCAGAGACTGTTCCTGGTGGGGGCTCACCCTGCCAAGAGCCAAGCTAAATGTCCTAGAGTCTGGGGGTGTGAAAATGTCTGGGCAGCTAGGCTGGGAAGGCTGAGGTACCTGTGTGAAGCCAGTCTAACCTCTTCCTAGAACCGGTCTACTACAGAAGATGCATAACAGTGGTATAAACAACACTTGGCTTGACTCAGTATTTACTGTAATGAGTGCTTCCGACACAAGAAAACCACACAGACAAACAACAAGCCAAAAAGCCGGCAAAACACCCAGAGGGTCATGAGGGAAGTCTTTCCACTGGCCCGTACCCCACTGCTTTGGAAGAGCCAACAGCAGCTCTGGAGACAGGGGGGCCCTGCTACCAGACCTTGTGCGTTAGCCAGCCTCACAGACAGGGGAGCTGCAGTTTGTCGTGCCTGGAGACCGAAAAATACAACCTTTTGCCAACATGCAACCAGCACCCTGGAGATTCATCACCAAGGACTGAGGACATAAACAGGTCCCCCTTCCCCCAACCCTGCTTCCTCCCGGGCCTCCCCACTCACAAGCTAAAGCGGGATAGCCAAAGCAGCCTGCACCCTGATGGCACCCTATGGAAATACATTTCAGAGGAGATAGTAGGTCCCCTGCCTGTCTCCAGGGGCTGGAGCATGGCTGCAGGCTTCCTAAGAGGCCTCTCAGGATGTTCCCTCTGGGGTTCATCAAACGCCTGCACATGCCGACTGAGCCAGAAGGGAAACGACAGGAGGCTGGGGGCCTAGCATGCCACCTTCCTTCACTCATCTCCAAATAACAATGGCTTGGGCCAAGGAGCGAGGTGATTGGGCAGAGTCCCTCGAGACAGTCTCCAGGATGTCCCACTCTGAGGCCAGCCTGTGGCCAGCAGGACCAGGAAGGGCTCCGTGCGGGGAGGCTTAGATTAGGCAAAGGTGCTTCTGGTGACTCATCCTCCCTCCACACCCCCAAGATGTCAAACCGGGACTGCAAGTGGGACTGGGGTGCACATGGGGGCGTAGAGAATGCTAAGCTCCTGCAGATGTGGGGACCAGCAGGAACAGTGCCAGGCTGGGCAGCCGAGTAAGCTGCATGTCTCCCTGCCCTCAGTGTACGTTCATACCTGGAAAGACTAAGATGATTTCTGATGGCTTAGGACAAGCCTGAGAACGGGGTGGCTGCCTGCAGATGGATGTCAAGATGAAGGACAGGAGGAAGCCTGAGCACCTGCAGGAGCCAGTGGCTGGTCCTGGAGAAGCAGACAGTTTACAATAATGTATCCACGGAGTGAGAAACGTGGATGCGAGACTCCAGTTGACATGATTGACACCGGCTGGGTGATTTATTTTAAAGGGCAGAGCCAGGTCTCTGGATGGGCAGGAAAGAAAGAGCGGAGCTCAGGTGCAGACAGCAAAAGTGCATGCAGGTGGGCAAGGGAGGCAGAGAGGACCGTGAAGGTGGATCACAGGAAGAGGCCGCAACAATCCAGCCTGGACCTCCTCGCCCCTTCTCCCGAATGCAGAGGACCACAGAGCTCTCTCGTTAAAAGCCCTCAATGGCTTAGACATGTCGCACGGCTTAGACATGACATAGCGGGTGTCTGGGGCCCTTGGGTGAGCTGGGAAATGAGTCTGCAGTGTAGCACCCCTCGCTCTCAGAGCCAAGCGCTGGATGCACCAAAGCAGGACAGCATGGCCTGTGGGTGCGTGCCCCGCTTCTTTGGTCGCAGCCGCTCTCCCCACTGCACCCACCCCTGGCTCCCATCCTCTGTCCACTAGCATGGTGGAGAAAGAGCGCACGAGAACAGCTGCGACAATGCAACCAACACCCATGTGCCTGGCCACTGGCACGCCCTAGGGTCGTCATTTGCTCTGGAGGCGCCATTTCTGGGCTCGTGCCAATATTCAGAAAGGAGCTCTCTTATTCCCAGGCACTACTGAGCCTGGAGCCTCCTGGGAAAGGCACCAAGGAGAAGGGGACTGAAGAGAAGGGCACTGAGGAGGAACCAAGGGCTGAGAGTGGAAAGAGTGCCTGATAGCTACAGCAAAACACCCAACCTCCACCAGGGGGCAGGAGCTGAGCCATCCCCTGACCTAAGACACTAGAGGGGAGCAAGCAGAGTGGCGGCCACAACCCAGGAGGCAACTTCTCCCAGTTTGCGGATTCGCAGTCCACTGCCAACAGTACATCGCAGCAATCAAAGGTCACCCTAGCAGAGGTCTGCCTGGTGCTAGGCTCCTGTTAGTTAATGCCACGGCCTCACCTCCAGTCCGGGCAGCAAATTACCTCGTCTATTTCAACCTGCCTCAATGAAATCACTAATCCAGCTTGGTAGGCAAAGACCCCAGGCACACAGTTTTCTTTCTTTTTTTTTTTTTTAGCATAAGTAAACTAACTCCCATGTAGAAGGAAAATTGAAAACACCAACCAACACACATACACACAAAAACTCTAAATTGTTTCTCCCATTCTGTACACAAATGTATTGAGAACTGTCAGTTGTCACTGGAAGGTGACTAGCTTACTCAAGACTGCTGATTTTACACTGAAAGTCCTGAGCAGCTCATGAGTGGGCCAAAGCCCCATCTACCTCCAGACTCATCCCTACAGCTACCAGCTCCCACCTCAACATGCCACAAACTCTGTGATTTCCTCCCACATCTGGCTGTGCCACGTGGGGCCTCCTACCCATCCTAGAGGCCTCTGATCCAGAGATCTCTCAGAAGGAATGCCACAGAACCCCAGCTCTCCTGCTGTGCCAGCACATGACACATTGTAGTCACTGACTCTCTGGCTGTCTCCCCCCACCAGCCTGCAGATGCCCTTAGGGAATGAGCTGTTCTGTACCCAAGATGTTTACTATCATGGCCAGATGACTCGTAGCATGACGCTGGGGTGACGATGGCTACACATGGTACCCTGAGATCTTTTAGCTCCGTGCCACAAATGTCCAGGCTCCTCAGGCTGGATTACAGGTGAATGCATCAGCCTGATCCAGAGTAGGCAGCTCACTTCCCCAGACTTCAGGAGTGAACCTGCGGAGGAACTACAGACCCCGCCATTCCTGGGTGCGCACTGGCTGGCCAGCAGGGGTATTCCACAAGCGCTGAGACTCAGCTGACTGGAAAGCTCCCCACACTGGGCAAGTTTCATTCAGAGGCAATGTGACAAGTACCAGCTCTGGAATCAAGTCCTGCCTCTGACACTACTTAGCTGGTGTGTCACCTTCAGGCAAGTGACTTCAGCTTCCTGGACCTTCGTTTCCAACTTTATAAAATGGGAACAATAATGGACCCCACAATTCACAGACATGTGAGGACTAAAGGAAATCACACACCGATGCCCTTAGCAAGACAGACCAAAGCACCGACGACACAGTAAAGGAATCTAGAAGGCTGGAGATGGGCAGAGTTAGGTGAGAGGCTGCAGGTCAGGAATGCTGGCTCCAAGCCCACACTCTGGACAACCCACCCTCGCCAGCCCAGGCCCTTCCACCCACTGGGTAAATTCCTGAAATCCTTCAGCCACTCCCTGCTCCCCTGCCTCCCTGCTAACCTCCATCCTTGCCTCTTGCTTCATTTCTCAAAACCACCTTGCTCTCAACTCTTTGGCACCCACAAACATGTTCGAAAGAACACAGCACTCCAACCCCCCAGCCCTCAGGTTAAAATGTGACCACCCATCCTTTCCACAGACCCAGTTTCCTTTCAATAGTTTCTCTACCCACCCCCAAACCCCTTCTTTAACTTCCCTTAGGAACTTGTGGTGTAGCGCTCGGTGCCGGTGGCTCACACCTGTCACCCTAGCTACTCAGGAAGCTGAGACCTGAGGATCACGGTTCAAAGCCAGCACAGGCCGGAAAGTCGGTGAGACTCTTACCTCCAATAAAACACTCAGAAAACTGGAAGTGGCACTGTGGCTCAAGTGGTAGAGCGCTAGCCTTGAGCCTGAAGAGCTGAGGGACAGCGCCCAGGCCCAGAGGTCAAGCCCCATGACCAACTAACCAACAAACAAACAAACAAACTGTGATGTTTTTATTTTCTTTCTCTGTCATACTGGAATTTGAACTAACATGGCCTTGTGCCAGCTAGGTGCATACTCTACCACCTGAGCCACACCTCCAGCCTGTTTCACTAGATCTTGTCATCTTTAACTAGGACTAGGTTTGGACTGCAAACTACTTACCTATGCCTCCCTCATGACTGGGATTACAGATATAAACCACCATGCCCAGCTTGTTTCTTGAGCTAGAGTCCCATTAACTTTTGTGTGTCTGGGCTGCCCTCAAACCAATATCCTTCTGTCCCTGCCTCTCCCATAGCTGGGAATAAAGGTAGGAGCTACTGTACTGGGCCTGCCTGTTTCTTACTATCAAAAGCTTGCCTACTCCTCCCTTTGGCACCCCCGTACTCCCTGAACTTGATCCCTGAACTCACTCTCCCCAGAGGTTTCTATTTTCTATACTCTCCCATTTGCTACCCCCCCCCCCCAACCTCTCCTCAACTCATTCATTCTTTTAAGTACCCACTGGGTTCATTCTGTGTGCTGGGCACAGTGCTCCATGCAGAGAACAGAACTGTGAGCCAAGCAGGCAGCTCTGCTCTCCTGGAAATATCCGTTCTGTAAGCGGTGGAGACAGAGGAAAAATAAAACGGGGCCAGGGAAGGTGGCAGGAAAGCCCATTAGACAGAGTGGTCCAGGAAGGGCCCCCTGAACTAATGAACACAATCACCAAGAGAACTGGAGGCTCAGAGAGGTAGGATACTTCCTCCAAGGTCACACAGCCCTTAGGTAAGGAAGAGTCGATTTGAATGCAGCTCGGACTTCCAGGCCAGTCTCTCCATCTCTGCCCTCCTGCTTCCCCAAGACTTTTGCCATCTGTCCTCCCCAGAGCTCTCCTGCTGATTGCTCTTTGCTTAGATTTCCACCAGAAAAGGCATCCTTCCTTGTAATTACTGCCCTTTGTGGAGCTTTCTCAACAGTCTCTCGTCCAGCCGACCCTCGCTGTAATCCCAGGAGGCACGTACTGGCTCTTACTCATTTTACAACCGAAGGCACTCGAGCCTGAACTGCATATATCTAGATTCGAACGCAGACCCGTCTCGTTCTAAGATGGGGGGGGGGGCGGAGGGGAGGGAGATGAAAGGCTTTGGCCCGTCAGCCCGTCCTGTCCAAGAACTAAGAGGCCTCCGGCGGCCTCATCCACGGCCACAAACCGAAGCCGCCTCCGGTTACCTTTCCTCAGGTGGGAACACCTACGTGTCCAAGGTCACACGGGCAGAAGCAACGGGGTCGGGCTCGAACCCTGGGCCCCACGGCCCTCGCCCGCATCCACCTCACCGGCGGCCCCGGCAGCGTCCGGGCCCCCCGCCCCGCGCCCCGCGCCCGCGCCCCGCACGCTCACTTGAGGTGGTCCAAGGAGTGGATGTTGCGGGAGGACTTGCCGTGGCCCCCGCCCACCCAGCTCCGCGAGCGGCCAAACATGTCGGCAGCCCGGGCCCGGCGCTCGCCTCACGGTCTCATGCCGGACCGGCCGAGTGGCCCAGCGCTCGCGGCGGGAGCCCTGGCGGCGGCGGCGGTGGCGGAGGCGCCGGCGCCGGCGCCGGCGGCGGAGGCGGAGGTGGTAGAGGAACCGCCAACCACCTTCCTCCCCGGCCCACAGCCCCGCACTGACATTCAGCCGGAACCGGCCGTTCCACTGACGCGCTTTACGGCCACCGCCACAAGGAATGCTGGGAAATGCAGTTTTCCCGAGAGGCCCTCCGCGGCAGGACTCTGTGGATGGACTACAAGTCCCAGGATGCCCAGCGCGACTTTGAGGGAAGAGGTGGGGCGAGAGGAGGAGAGAGGTGCAGCACCGCCTGAGCTGGGCGGGCATGGGAGGCCTGTGGGCGGAGCCTTGAGACTCCCAAAATGAGAAAGATCACTCAGCTATTAACCAGCACCTAACTTTTGTGAGAGGAATAAGAAGAGGGCCGAGTGTGATGTCTCACACCTGTCATCCTAGCTCCTCTGTTGGCTGCGACAAAAGGATTGTAAGTTTGAGACCACTGTAGACAATTTAGTAAGACCCTACCTCAAAATGTAAAAATAGTTGCTAGAAGTATAGTACGGTGGCAAAAAACTTGCCTAGCATGCACTAGGTCCTGAGTTCAGGCCTTAATATTAAAAGGCGGAGGGAATATTGCATGGAGCATAATATTAAAGTATTAAGTTCTCATGACAGCCCTATGAAGTGGATACTATTTTTATCCCTGATTTATCATCCAGGAAACTGAATCACAGACACTTTGACTGCATAAGGTCAGGTGATTAATGAGTGACAGAACTGGGGTTCAAGCCCAGGAATCCTTATTTTCATCCCCAGTAAACCAAACCTGCATTAAGCCACTGACAGCCTTCTTTGTCCTCAGACCTATTTCTTTTCCCACTTCCATGTAAAGATACAGATCAGAAAGGTCTGCAAGCCACACTGTACCGAAATTGAACATCTCGTACTTTCTGAGGATTTCTCTGGTCTTCACCCAAAAACCTATGTCATATCCAAAACTGACACTAGAGGGAGAAGAAAGAAAGGGAGGGAGAGGAGGGGAGAAGGAGGGGAGGAAGAAGAGGGAGAGTGAATGAATGAATGAATGAGTGGTTCCAGAGAACTAGAAGCAAGCAGCACTATTTTCTCTGTAATTTATCTAAAGGAGCAGAGTTAGAGGGTGGGGAGAAGAGCAGTTTTAGCCAGGCCCTGGTGGCTTACGCCTATAATTCTAGCTACTCAGAAGGCAGCCTAGGCAGGAAAGCCTTTGATACTCTTTATCACCAATTAACCAGCAAAAAGCTGAAAATGGAAGTGCTAGAGTATCAGCCTTGAACAAAAAAAAAAGCTAGTTCAATGTGTATGCGTGCGTGTGCATGTGTGCGTGTACACAATTTCTAGCTTCCAAAGAAATGTGATCAGGCCCAGCAGCTTCCAGGGCCCAGTTTCTTCATCTGTTTGTTTTTTTTTTTTGGGGGGGGGGTCTGGTCATGGGGCCTGAACTCTGGGCCTGGGCGCTGTCCCTCAGCTCTTCAGCTCAAGGCTAGTGCTGTACCACTTGAGCCACAGCACCACTTCCGGCTTTTTTTCTTTTTGCTTATGTGATGCTGAGGAATCGAACCCAGGGCCTCATGCATGCAAGGCAAGCGCTCTACCACTGAGCCACCTTCCCAGCCCTCCTCATCTGTTAAAAGAGGCAAAATAGACTACCACCTTGCCTGGCTCCAATTAAGGAATGCATGTTACGCATCTACCTTAGTGTGTGTTTAGATGTAGCATATTAGGCAACAACAGCAAGATTGTCAGGTAGCAGAAGGACCTGTAGGTGGGACTGTGAACTGCTTAGTTGTTTGTTTAACTACTGGCATCATCATTATCATTATCGTTATTAACATGGACTACAAAGCAAAATGAAATAATAAGCAACCTTACTGGCGGAAGAATTGACCTGTCTGGGCTCTCTTCTCTTGGATCTTCTCAAACCCAATAATGCAGAGTCCCTTCCAAGGGTGGTCCTCCAAACGAGCAGGAATTTGGAGAGGCAACTGATCTTCACCCCATGGAAACGAATTAAAAGTGATGTTTGGCAATGTTCCTGATTTTCGACGATTTTCAATCGAAAAATCTTCTGAGTTCCAAAGAGTCGTGGTGCAAGCCTAGCAAAGTACACAGGAAGCCTTTTTTGTATCTTTGTGATTCCATCCAACTTTGAATTGCATTCTGTGCTCCCTTCTCCCCCCCACCCCGCACCCCCACAACCCCTCCAATCTCGGGACTCGCAGAGCGAAACAGACGCTAATTGCGAACTCGGATCCCTTCCAGAAAAGCAACTCACAAACAGGAGCTCGCCCCCTGACGGCGCTATCCAATGAACGTAGACCAAGGCTGAACGCCCACCCTCTGAGGGGCGGGGCTAGAAGGTACCCGCCCCCCAGGACAGTTCTGTCCAATGAGCACGGGAGTTGCGCGGGCCTATCAACACAGGCAGGAAACGGCGAGCCAATGAGCGCAGGCCCGCTGAGGAGGCGGTGCTCGGATACTAACCAGGAGGGCGGCGCGGCGGCAGCAGCTATGGGTGCTGGGCCTGCGGGGACACCGAGGGGGTTCGAGGGACCGCCGGGGCGGGCGGGAGGCCCGGCAGCCGGGACACGCTGAGTCGCGGTGGGAGCGGGACCGTCGCGGGGTCGCCTCGGAGGGTCGCACCCCACCTCTCAGCGAGTCGATCGGGGGGCCGTGCGGACCGCTCTGAGGGTGCACTGACCCCGTGCTGCGCGTTTTGCGGGGAGCAGGGTCACGGCGCGTCCGCCGAGGCCGCCGCGCGCCCCTGGAGGCCAGCCGGGGCCCGGCGCCACCTCGGTCGAGCCCCCGGGGCGCCTCCCCCGGATGGCCGCGCTGCCCCCGCGCCGGCCGCCCGGGCGCCGCCGCGGCTGAGGTCGCTGGGTTCGCCCGGCGGCCGCCGCCCTCGCCGCCCCCTGCATGCCCGGCGCGCGGATCGCAGCCCACCTGGACGCTCTGGGCCCCCTGGTCTCGCACGTGCAGCCCCCGCTGCCGTCCTCTATGTTCTACGTGGGCCTGTTCTTTGTCAACGTGCTGATCCTCTACTACGCCTTCCTCATGGAATACATCGTCCTCAACGTGGGCCTCGTCTTCCTGCCCGAGGACCTGGACCAGGCGCTCGTGGACCTCGGCGTGCTCTCCGACCCCGGCTCCGGCCTCTACGAGGCCGACTCGGAACTCGACGTCTTGGACGGGTACTTGGAGTAAGGGTCTTGACTGCTATCCACCCCCTCGTGCCCTCCACGACCTGCTACCCTCAGCCTGGACCTGCTGGCCTCATTATGCCGCTGCTCTTGGTTGGGGGCACCCTCTGGACTCGGATGGGACCCCAGGAGGAGGCCCTCCAAGGTCTGTAAGTGCCCCTTCGGGAGGAGGGTGGATTGGGGAGAGGGAGAGGACGTTGCCCCCAGGGCAGACACTCGTCTGACTCCTAAGGCATCTCCTCCAGGTCTAATTTGGATGCCAGGAATGACCATCTATGTTAGGCCTTCCGCTGGGGCTGGAGAGCTGCTCTCCTCAAAGGAGACAGCTGTTGAAGAGGGAAGACCTAGGGCCTAAATTACATTTGGGGGTAGTCCTGAACTTTGCTCAATGTTTAGAGCAGAACTGTCAGCCTCCTTTCCCCCACCCCTCCATGCCCCTCCTCAGCCTGTCTTGATAATGAATGACCTTGGCTTTGGGGAGAGTCTCACTAGTCTTGAAAGGATAAACATTTGAGGATGGCAAAGGGGTAAGAAGCCAGGCACCCATCACCTTTGAAACATAGTTCCTGGGGGGGGACTGGATTGGGGAATTGAGGACAAGGGGCACAGTCCCGCGAGTCTTCTGCAAAGAAGCCTGCACTTCCTTGCATCTGCCGCTGATTTGGAGTCAGATTTCAGGGTGGCCGGCGTCAGTTCTGCAGCTCAGATCTGCAGGAGCTGCCAGCTTTGCAAGCTGCCTTCCCAGAACCAGGCTGGCGCTGGGGCCCAGGCTGGCTTTATCTGCAGGATCTGTAAGACCTTGGGGCTGTAGAGTCAGCAGGTGAAGACCACAGGATCATTGCACCGTGATGTTACAGTCCTGGCTCTGGGTTTCCTCTTGGAGCTTTGTGCCCAGCAAGTTAGAGGTAGGGCAATGAAAGTCCAGGAAGGAAGAAGACTGGCTAGAGCCACTGAACCAGGAAGAAGAGCACTTGGCTCCAATAAGAGAAAACTCATATGCCAGGCAGCGGTTGGGTCCATGGAGTGGTCTTGGGGCAGGTAGAACTTCTTGGCTGAAAGCCCAACAGCCCAATGAGGCTGGAGTTATGCCAGGCGTGGGGCCTGAGGAACAATGAGAGTGGGCAGGGGCCCCAGGCAGGCAGTCTACACCTATCCTGAGCTGCCTATCTTTTGCTAATGTTAGAGGTCCAGTAACCAGCACCATAGGCTGAATGGCTCAAACAACAGTTTCTTTCTCACAGATCCCATTCACAAGGAGTCTACCCCCTTCACCTACCACTTCCAAAAGCTTCCTAGCATCATCTCGTTGTGGGGATATAGAATTTGGCATGAACACAAACGTCCACTCTGTGGCAGAGGCTGATGGAGGTTGGGCAAGACCTGCTGGTGGCTGTGTTGGGGGGGCAAAGCACTCCCCTAAGACATCATCTTTGGTTGAGCAGGGTCAAGTTCAAGGGGAGGCCCTAGGCCAGCTGCTTTACATTCCTCTCCAGCCTATCTGCTGCCATCCAAGCCTTCAGTCCTCAATGAGCAAAGCAGGCAGCGTGGGCACCCTGGCCTAGGGAGAACGAGCAGAAGCCACAATCAGACACGCAAGAAAAGACCCGAGCTCCCCCTGTGCGTTCAGTTTCCTCACACTGGAAACAGTACCTGGTGCCTGAGCTGTCTATCAGCTCAGTGAGGGTCAAAGAAGGCCTTTCAAAGGGATGACGCATCCAGGCTGATCGAAGGAACTAGACACGAAGATCCGGAGAAAAACAGTCCAGGCAGAGGGAGCTATTGGGTGCCAAGAACTGGTGATGGAGAGTTGGCTTGTCCACAACCCCAAGGAGGCCAGTGTGGTCCCCGGGAGGGGGCGGTGTTGGGCAGCAGGGAGCCACACCAGGCAGGAGATGAGCAGTGAGCCAGTGGAAGGCTGGAGGAAGGGGAGGCCTCGATCCACATTTGCAAAGACTTTGGCAGAATGCTCCAAAGGGGCAAGTGTTTCATCAGGAAGCCAGCGAGGAGGCCATTAAGCTGTCCAGCCAGAAGTGGCAGAGGGCAGCTCAGTGAAGATGGCAAACATGGGCAGGCTGAGGACACCTATCAGAGGCCACCCCCCTTCCAAATCCATATACCACCCTGCTTCTAGATCCTTTGGCGGTTACTCAGTCACTCAACAAACACTGGTCCCACTACTGAACTGTGTGCTAGGCCCCTTGTGGTCCTGACAAGAACCTACCTCCAAGCCAAGCATCTGACTTTCAGGCAGCGTCTTGTGAGGAACGTCTTATTTTATCCTCTCCGCATATCAACAGAAATACTTCCGCTTCCAAATGGAAACACTGGCATACGCGCAACCAAACACCAAAGCCCAAATGCTTTGACATCTTTTACAGCAAATGCTATTTGAGCACAAATGCCGGGAAGTGTTTCTTCAGTTACCGTTGACAAGCTTTCTGTGTGACAGGGCCTGGCCCCAGGAAGTGGGTGGGCTATGTGAAATACCCCACTTAGGCCTAGGACACACACTCCTCCACCCCCAAATCCAAGCAAGGAGGAGGCCCAGGAAGCCCTGACCTAGGGGTACAGGACTAGGCAGCTAGCCCCAGGAAAACCATGTAAGGAAGATGTGGAAATGGTTGGATGGAACCTGGCCTCCACGCCCCTCTCCATAGGCAGTGATCAAATCTCGCTCTCTCTTACTCATTCTCACCGGACTCGTGCACTGCACACAAAAGACAGGAAGCGCTGGCAAAGGGCAAAGGACTTGCCAGCCAGTGGGGTAAAGAGGTCAAGTTGAAAGGGGCCTTCACTTTTGCTCCGTCTCTCTCTTGAGTGTATGGCCTATCAAATTCAGCCCTTAAGCATTGACTGGATGCCTACTTAGGGCACTTATAGGGTGGTGAAGAGCCAGCGCCCTAGCTTCAGACTTCCTGGGTTCAGATCTCAGGCCTCGCTATGACTGGCTGCACTGTTCAACCTCCTTTTTCAGTTTCCTCTTCAATAAACAGATCGTGAAAATCTGCCCTGGGAGGAGATGGCTCTTCACCTAACTGCTGTTGTTAATGGTCAAGTGTGTGCGCATAAGCACTTGGAGAAGTGTAAACGTGCTCAACACACCATGTATCTGCACCCCTCCATGAGCAAAAGTTCTAGCCCCCTCCCCCCAGCATAGGGAGGTGTGAGTGTGCACTTCCCTTGGGCAGACTTCGCCGCTACTTTCCTGCCCTGGGAGCCTTGAGATCTTTCCCTCCACCCAGAGCTCTGGAGAGCCGGCTCTGCCATCTGCCTGCAGTGTTTGCAGCACCCTGCCAGGCGAAGGAGGACTTCATGGGGGTGTCTCAGCCTCCCTCCATCAACACTAACTCACCTTATGCCAGACATGCTTCATCTGTACTTTTTTTTTTTTTTTTTGAGTTTTGGGATTTTTCCTCTGAGAGCAGGACTGGAACTTGGTAGCTGACGCTTTTGTCTTATTGGCTGGCACTCTACCATCTGAGCCATGCCTTCACCCCTCTAATAAACTTTTTTGTTGTTGTCGGTCGTGGAGCCTAAACTTGAGCCTGGGTGCTGTCCCTCAGCTCTGCAACTCAAGGCTAGCGCTCTACCACTTGAGCCACAGTGCCACTTCTGGCTTTTTCTGCTTATGTGGTGCTGAGGAATCGAACCCAGGGCCTCATGCATGCAAGGCAAGCATTCTACCACTGAGTCACCTTCCCAGTCCCTAAACTTTTTTTTTTTCTGGTCATAGGGCTTGAACTTGGCCTAGGTGTTTTCCTTGAGCTTTTATTTATTTATTTTGCTCAAGGCTAGTGCTCCACCACATTGAACCACAGCCTCACTTCCAGTTTTCTGGCAGTTAACTAGAGATAAGAATCTCATGGACTTTTTTGCCCAAGGCTGGTTAAGATACTCAGTTCTCAGCCTCCTGAGTAGCTAGGATTACAGGCATAAGCTACCAGTGCCTGGCTTCTTACAAATTTTTACTTTGGAATAATTCCACGTTTATAGAATAGTGTGTGTCAAGAAGAATGCCAACAATTTCTATACACCTTCACCTGCATCTTCCCGCTGGGTTCTTGGTGTGAGTACATTCACGGGCATCTGTTAATGCATGTAGACATGTGCGCGACTATATTTCTAAACCACTTGAGAGTGGGCTGCATACCTTATGCCCCTATTTTCCTGAATATTCCAGTCTTTTTCTATAGAACAAATATTTTTATATATCTTACATTATTTGTATTATATATTACAATTATATATTACATATTTATATGATACGTATATACCACGGTGCACTGATGCAGTCCTGGGATTGTCTGGTCTACGTCTTTGTCCAGACTGTGACATCTGTTCTACTACTGTCCCTTAGCAGTGAAAGCGGGGTGAGGGGGGGTGCAGGGCCTGCCCTAGACCGCCCTGGGCATTCACTGGGGGCTTTCCTCAGGCTGGAGCAGCTGGGAGCCATCAACATGCTGGCATTGCCTGCCTGGCATCTGGTAGGCTGCCTCGGCTGGGTTTGGCAGGGATTTGTCCTCTGGGTTAGATTCAGGGGATGCTGTCTTGCCAGGAAGATGACAAGAGAGAATGTCACCCCAGGTGCCTCTCCATCAACACTGTGACCCAAGCATGGGAACTTGGATCCCTCAGCCAAGGTGGTGGCTGGTTGTCACTCCATTGTCAAGCTATGGTTTTCCCTATTATAGTTTATGTTGCATTGTGCTAGTTTTAGTGCTGCATTAGTTTAAAAAAAAAAAAACCTTTAGACTGTGATTGATTGATTTATTTATTTATATTACTTATTTTGTAGTCGTGCTGGGGATCAAACCCAGAGCCGGGAACATGCTAGAGCTGGGCTCCGCCACTGAGCCTGTGGGTTTAGCTTAGAACCATCTTCACTTGGCACAGATAAGAAGGAATGTCTCTGGGCCCTGGTGGTTCACGCCTGTCATCCTAGCTACTAAAAGGCAGAGATCTGAGGACTGTGGTTCAAAGCCAGCCTGGGCAAACAAGTCCAATTCATCAGCAAAAAGCCATAAACAGAGCTGGGACTCAAGTGGTAGAGCATCAACCTCCAGTACAAAAGCCAAGCAAGAGTGAGAGGCCCTAAGGTCAAGCCCCAGTACTGGTGCATGTGTGCTGTGTGTTACCCAGCCTGAAACTTTCTCCTTGATGTAACCAATCATGACCATGAACCCCAAAGATATAACTAGAAGGCTTTACTGTGAATCCCCAAGCAGCCTGCTTGCGGGACATGTGTATGATACCTAGGGCTAGCTCCTCACACCTCTGCAATTGCTGCTTAGAGCTTTGTGGTCACACATTTGGATTTCAATTCCAGCTCCACCAAGGTTGGATCAGTGGCTTTACCTCTCTAAGCCTCGGTTTCCTTCTCTTTAAGACAGTACCATTACCTACCAAGGGCCTGCGCCAGTTCCATGGGTTGCTGACTGATGTAAATAAATGCCATGGCCAGTGTTTGTAGGTTGTCTGATCAGGTGCTGGCTTCTAGCCCCAAAGCCTATCCCTGGCCTGTGGCTCCCTTGCTCTGCCGATTGCTGGCACCCAGGAGTCCAGGGAGATTGAGGTCACTGGTACCAGATGAGTCCTGAGATGCCAGTGTCCAGCTGTCACCCCAGCCCTAAGGGCAGAACTTCATTCCTCAGATTCCTTCCTGGCAGGAGGCATGGCTGGGTGGTGAAAAATAATTGCTGCTCCCACACTTCCATGGCTTCTCCTTGAGCATCACCTGGTGATGCTGGCTGGGGTGGGGCCCAGGGGCTCCATTAGCTGGGGAGGGAAACTGAGGCTTGGGGCCTCCACACACCCCGCTGTGAGGTGGCTTCCCGGGCCTCCTCTCTGGAGCTTCTGCTCTGGGAGGCAGCTGTGTGGAGGCCATCCACAGTGCGCCTGGCCTTCCTGCTTTCCCCCTTTTATAGCTAGGGCAGCCGACCCAGAACAGGGTGCAAGACCTGCACCATGTTCTTAGCACTGCCTGTTCTTTGGCAAGTGGTATTTGGCTTTATTCATGGTCATGACGGGGGGTGGGGGGGGGGGAGTGTCTTGATTTAAAATACTGCGCAAGCACCCCTAATCTGAATAGCTGAAATACTCCAAAATCTGAATGGCTGAAATGCTTCCGACCCCCCTCCCCCAATTTTTTCCCTCTTGGCACTAGTGGAGATTAAAGCCAGGGCCTCCCGCTTGCCAGGCAAGTGCTCTGTCACTTGAGTCACGCCCCCAGCGTTTCTGGTTTTTCAGATGGTGCCTCATGCTTTTGTCCAGGCTGGCCTGGGCTGTCCACCCACCTACTTTCACCTGCCAAGTAGCTGAGGTTATGAGCATCACTACCATAGCTGGCCCCAAAGCCCCAAGCTTTTTGAATGCCTACACGATGATGCAGGTAGAAAATAGGGCTTCCACACCTGACCCCACGTGACAAGTTCAGTCAAAATCCACATGTGATAAAAGTACTTCAGAGCAAGTCATGGAAGCCTGGGACTACAATCCTACCTGCTCAGGAGGCAGAGATTGAATCACAGTCCAAGTCCAGTGAAGACCCCATCTCAACCAATAAGCTCGATATACAGTGCGCATGCACTCTGTCTTTCCAAGTCTGCAGGATTGCCTGGCTCAAATGTAAATGCAAGACCTGATCTGAAAAGTAATGGCAGCAATAAAAGGGGGTGGAGGCATGGCTCAGCATACAGTGACTGTCTACTCCTGAGTTCAAACCCAGTCCAAAAAAACCCCACCACCTTCTGTGGCTGAAGCCCAGTGCCACCCAGGCAGCCGTGGGCAGCGGGGTGGAGCTGGACTGAGATGCCCCGTTGCTGGCCAGTGCTTCCGTTGGTGACCCCTCCTTTGTCTTCTTGGCAGGCCTGCTTCCCCGGAAGCTTTGTGCCAACCCAGCAGCTCCTATCCTGAACCACGAGGGGGATGGAGAGTCGGGACCACGTGCCAAGGCGAGGAAGGCCACGGGCATCCGGAGACTGCACCCTGCACCGGGCTCGTGACTTCCTGCTGGTGTGATGTTTACAGGAACGCAGCCAGTTTGCCTGTTCTGCATTTCAGCCCCTTGCCCGTGTCCCCCATGGGAGCAGACACCTCCTGCTGTGGGCCCCTGGATGTAGTGATGGACCGAAGGGGGGAGTTGCAGAGAACCCCATGAGAGCGGTGCGGGGGGGGGGGGGGCAGGGAGCTGCAGCCCCAGGGGAAGTGGACTTGGCCGTTCAAGTGCTTGTTCTTCCTTAGCTTGGTAGGGTTGGGAACCCGGGCTGCGAATGCTGCCGATGTATATTGGCCAGAAATATATTTTTGAAAATGTGAGTCACATCAATACTTGACTTCGATCAACCTGTTAAAGCAATACTTAGGAGGCTGACTTGTTTCCATTAAAAACGTATGCAACTGGGTTTTGGTTTTTCTTTGAACTTTAGAAGAGGGGACCTCGTGATCAAGGACAGGCGGGCCGGAGGCCTCCTAGTCGGAGACCCGGTGGGATTTACCGTCCACCCCGGAAGGCTGGCATGGGAGCCCTAACTGGCCCCTGCCAAGCTTCTGCCTGCCACACCACAGACAGCCCTGGGGTGTGGTGGGAAAGGCCTCGTGGCCACGTGGAAGTGGCCTGAATTGCACAGAGACTTCAGGTGCAGGTGATGGAAGGAGGGGAGCACAGGGTGAGTGGGTTGGCTTGGAGCCTCTCATTTGTGGAGCAGGCCTTCCATGTGCACCAGGGTAAGAGAGTGGTGAGGGGGGGCGGGCATGGTGATGCCCGTCTGTAGTTTCAGCGTTTAGGAGACCGAGGCAGGAGGATCTTGAGTATGAGGTCAGTCTGAGCTCCATAGTGTGTTCCAGACCAGCTTGGCAACAGAGCCAGATCATGACTCAGGCCCCACGCCTGTCTTCCTAGCTACTCAGGAGGCTGAGCTCTGGGAATCATGCTTCAGAGCCAACCCTGGGCAGAAAGAAACCCTGTCAGTC